TTTAAACCTCCGGCCCAGGGGGAAAGTTGCCAGTGTTTGGGTAGTAACAACCAAAACCCCCGACTTTAAAAAGAGGCTTGGGCGCTGGCCTTTTCGCGGACGTACGCGGAAACACACGGTGACAAGGGGACGGCTATATCGTACCTGGAGGGGTGAAGGAGGGACAGAGACGTTCAAAACCACATAACGATTTTTTCTACAAAAAACAATTTTGAAAAGTATCTAACGAGGGAGGGTACTCAGCAAAGTGTTCAGACAGTAGCCTGAACAAAAAGGGGGGCCGGCACTGGGGCCCCTTTTTCGTACCCCGGGTTTTTAAAACCCAACGCATGATACGGTGCAGTAGCTCAAATCTTTACATTTGCCGAGGGAGGGTCTTTGGGTCGGGCCCGAGGCCTTTTTTTCATTTTGCATTAATGTTAACACTTTGGGAGCGACCCCCCTCTAAATGGCCGTCGTTCTGCGGATATGAACGGATGAGCAAGCGCCGAAAACTCAGTGTTCCTCCTGGGGACTTCAGGAATTTCATGTTGGGATTGTTCCCAGTAAATGTATAGGGGTGTTAGAGTGTGAAATGAAAGATAACAGTTACCCAACCCCCTCCTCCACCCCCCTCTATATATATATATATATAGTATAATTATAATATTATATATATATATATATAATCTATATTATATATATATATATATATATTAATATATAAATATATTGGACTTTGCCGCGGGAACTCTCCGCGAAATCTCGGAGCCCCCGAGACAAGGGGTTGAACTCTAAAAGAGAAGAACAGCGCCGCTACAGCCACTCACAGAAATGGCATTTTTATTCATCATGGCTAGTCACTTGAGGTTCGCAGATTAACATGGTGCCTCTGTGCTTCATGGAGCACCGGGTGGTCCTAGCGGGTACAGGCGTTTAGACGGGTGCTGAGGGAATACACCCAATGTCAACCTGAAGTAAAAGACACGCACGCCTGAGAGTGTGTGATTTGTACCCCCCCCCCCCCCCCATTTTTTTTAAAATCAGAAGAGAACATGAGAAGTAGGCGCCAGTCAGCGTGTGTGTGTGGTTTGTACTGTGTGATTGGATTGTCGGAGGGAGATCGTCTGATAATAGTTTAGTACAGTGGCTGTCAACTTCCTAATGCCGTGACCCTTTAACACAGTTCCCTCAAGGTCGACCCCCAAACATACAAATGCTTTCCTTTTTACTTTATAACTTCAATAAATATGTATTTTTCGATAGTCTTACTCATCCACTCACCAACCCACTCCATCACTCACCTACCCACTCTGTCCCACAGACACATGACTTTTAAAATTGTAAGACATAGTGATGATCAGTAAAAGACATATTCCATGTGATGTTCATCCACAGAGCCATACCTGACTGGGGAAAACCAACCAGGCTTCTCTCTACAGACACAGGATCTCTACCAGCTGGCCCAGTACTTGCAGGTCAGTCTTCCTCTGTGTGTGTTTGCTTGGATACAGTGTTTTTGTTTGTTTTTGAGTTCTATTTTAGTTCCCTACAGCTTTGAGTATGTTGTTGATTTACTGGACCAGTAGTCCATTCTTAATTGGCTGTAAAAGGGACATTCTTGCAGCACATGTTCTGCAGTTGGCACACATATCCCACATAGACCCTATGGTTGACTGCTTATATGCAGCCTGTATTTGTGCTTGTTAAGTTTGTTATGCCCTGTCCATGAGCATAGAATGATGTCTGTCAGTGCCTGTAAGTGGTAGTAATCTCTGGCAAAAGAAGGATTGCACGGAAGGATTGCACAGTATAGAACAGAATAGAGGACTGGCCTGCGAGCCTAGTATGACACATAACGCCACAACAGAATGATGAAAAAGATTATCTCACTCAGTTAGTAGCTGTAACATTTTGGGATTGAAAGGGTTCACTCCCATGTGGGTTCCGGGGCCCCATTTTTGGGAGAGGTGTGGGGGGAAGGGGGGGAGGAAGAAAGAAAAGACCCACAGCCCCCTTAAAGGAATGTTGTAAAAGTCAGCTAATCAGGAGTTCCCTCTCAAAGTCGGAGTGCCTCTGCCTAAGCAGCAAGGAATCAGCAGTCTGCATACGAATAAGCCAAATTTGTAAAATAGATATGCACGCAAAACTCAAGATCTGAAACACGACCGAAGTCCAGAAGTAGAGGAACAACCAGAATTTCCACCGGAGTTTACACCCAACTAACAATAAGAAGAAGATGGGGGTGGGAAAAGAGTTAACCTGCTTTACTGCATTTGTAACTCTGACATGTTTGTTCCATTTTTTGTGTGTGCCTGATCTTGTGCCTTTCAAAAGTTCCCCGTTTAAAGGGTTATTGATATTCTTTAAAGTTTTCTCTAAGTGTTATTAAAAGATCTAAAAGGGGTATTCTTATCTTCAATGTTTGCAGTTTGTTTGCAACTTACACACAACAGTCGTTGCATAAGGCTTTGGCTGTTCATTAGTTGTGTTGTGTACTTCATTGTTCTTCTTGGAATAAATGTTTAATGTGTGTATTTTTAAAACATGTTTTTAATTATGATTTTAAGTGTTTATGTGTGTGCACGAAAGGGAGGTTGGGGGGGGGGGGGGGGGAGATTACTCAGAGTTAATGAGTGACAGTTTTAGATAGACACAGATGGAGGGAATAAGATTGAAAAGATAAATACACATACACACAAAATAAGAAAGAGAAAGTGGGTGGGTGTGGGGGGGGGGAGGTGCAGGCGTTGTGCCAAGAAGAAGAAGGAAGGAAGGAGAGAGCAAAATATGAGAAGGGAGGTAACAAGAAAAATGTTTTTGTTATTATTTTATATACACATGTATACTTAGAACAAAATAACCCAAGATGCACTAACATGCATGAGGCTTCCCCATCTGTTATATTTCTGAATATAAATGCAACACAAAAATAATAATAACCCAAGATGTTTTTTTTACCTCTTGTTGCTTGCTCTGGTTTTGTTTGATAGTTTTGCCAGTGTCTTGTTGATTTGTCTGTTGCTACAGGAAGCTCTCCATCGAGAGAAGATGTTGGAGCAGAAGTTGTTAGCTCTTCAGCAGCTGGTTCACAATACTCAGGAGGCATCGGAGAGTGGATGGCAGGCAAGTGTGTTTATCGATCTGTGATTTTAGTGTGTCTATCTGTGCATTTACTGTGTCTGTGCATTCAATGTGTCTCTGTGCATTTAATGTTTCTGTCTGTGCATTCATTGTTTCTGTCTGTGCATTAACTTTGTCTGTGCATTCACTGTGTCTCTCTGTGCATTTTGTATGTCTGTCTGTGCATTGAGTGTGTCTCGTTAATGAAAGCACCAGACAGTGCCTACAGCATTGTAAATTGTTTGTTTCAGAAGTGTGTCTGTGTCCCTGTTTACCTGTGTACATCATATAAAATAAACACATAGACATGTATTGATCAGCACCAACAGAAAGAAGTAGAAAGACTGAAGGACACACTAGACAACACAAAAATTGAAAACTATAGTTTCCTTGCTGGGAAACAAACCAGTCACCTTCAGATGATAGCAAACCACTCGCTGTATGAACACGTGTCAATTTCTGTCTACTTTTCTGTTTACCCAGCCATCCAGGTTTCTTTATCACTATCTGACTTTGGCTTCCTTTTAGTATCTTTAACAATCTTTGCTCTCTCTCTCTCTCTCTCTCTCTCTCTCTCTCTCTCTCTCTCTCTCTCTCTCTCTCTCTCTCTCTCTCTCTCTCTCTCTTGCGCTTCCTCTCTCCCCCTCTCTCTCTCTCTCTCTCTCTCTTGCGCTCCCCCCTCCCCCCTCTCTCTCTCTCTCTCTCTCTTACGCTCTCTCTCTCTCTCTTGCGCTCCCTCCCTCTCTCTCTCTCTCTCTCTCTCTCTCCCTGTCTCGATGTCTCCCTGTTTTTTGTCTCCTCCTCTCTCTGCCCATCTGTACCAATCTTGCTTTTCTTCTCTGTCACTTGCTGTCTTTCTCTGTATCCTTCTAACCCTTTTTTTAAATGTGCCCATGTGTATATTCTCATGGTCCGTGACTGTGTGATTCACTTATTCTGTGTGTATAGTAATACAGTAATATTTTTAAAAAAAAGCGAAGATCTAAAAACCAGCTAATTAAAAAAAAGTATTGAAAAAAAACAACCTCCCATAAATCCAAGATTTTTTGAAGCTAAGCTTCAGTGTAGAGATGGTAAATAATCTGATATCGGTCTCAAAATGGATAAAAACCGGACTGAGTGCAGTTGAGCTGGAATAAACAAATTCACTGAATGTGGGCTATCACCTCACAAGACAAATCTTTTTCTTGTGTTACAGAGGCTTCATGAGAAACATTCAGTTGTTTCCATGTATGTGTTCCCTCACTCTCTGAGCTTCCTAGTCATATAGTCCATGTTGATTCTTCTTCTTCATATTCACCTAGTAAAGTCTGGCAGAAAGTTCTAGATGATCATCCACCTTTGGACTTCAGTCCTGTTCCATAAGTTGAATTTTCTGTGCACATCCATTTTACAGATGTGGCCTATTTATATGCAGACTGTTAGTTCTTCACCACTCAGGCAGATGTGCTGCCTGTCACCTTTTACAACATGCCTAATTAGGAGGATTTGTGTATACCCCCTCACCCCCCACCTTCCCAACATTTCCCCATGGACCTTGAAGCCCACACATGGATATGTGTTAATTGATAATGATATAATCTGAAATGAAGAGTATTCCAAATATTATTTTAAATATTATTTTGTCATTTTGTTGTAGTTTCAGTTGAGGTAAAAATGGTATCACAGCACTAGGGACATGCCTTAAACACTCTATCCCCATTTTCAGCATCCATGGCAGAGTTGCAGTTCTGATGGTACCAGCAGTTTTATGATACATCCATCGTGTCTTTATGCTGAGTGTAGAATGTTGGCTAGCTCCCTCTAGTCACTCCCTGGCTGCACCATTCTCTCCAGAGAATGCAGAATGTCTTTGCCTGTCACAATAGTGCTCTTCCATCGACGACCGGGTAGCCCATTGGTTGGCCAGTAGACGATTTCATTGTCGGTCGGGACAGAATTTTGGTCTGTCTGCAAGAGTCTTTTTCAGGGCTACTTGGTATTGAGCAACAGTAAAGCCATTTTATATGGTGCATATAACCTAGTCACAATTATAACCAAAAGCTCTCAGCCTTTGGGGATGCTGGTTGAACGTAAGGATTTGTATTTTTTTCAAAACAAGGAAAGAATAGTACTCTTCTTCTTCAGCGATCTCTGGTCATGCATTAAATCCACTATGGGTCATAAACTAGGATGTCGCCATGAGGCCGCTTAGATTCCCTCAGAGCTTAAGTCAGGTCTACCGGATGTGGCTATATGTTGCTTTGCAGCTCTTCCAGGAGAGGACAGTCTTGCAAGACATGTTCTGCAGTCTGTTCAGCATGAAGACACTGGCAGACACCTAATTTGTACAAGTGTTTGTTGAGTACAGTGGTCATGAATTTGCTATTTCTTAAATTTGTTTAAATGTAAAAAAAAATTATCCATATTTGCAGGCTTTAATAGATGAAGACAAGCTCTTGTCTCGGCTGGAAATGTTGGAGAACCAGCTTCATATATACTCTAAGGTATGGCTAGTACATGAGTGTGGGGTTGGTGGGGGAGGAGGGGAAAGTGGGATCTTTTGGCTAGTGGGTGGACAGTGGGTGCTTTTGGTTAGTGGGTGGACAGTGGGTGCTTTTGGCTAGTGGGTGGACAGTGGGTGCTTTTAGCTAGTGGGTGGACAGTGGGTGCTTTTGGCTAGTGGGTGGTCAGTGGGATCTTTTGGCTAGTGGGTGCTTTTGGTTAGTGGGTGGACAGTGGGTGCTTTTGGCTAGTGGGTGGACAGTGGGTGCTTTTGGCTAGTGGGTGGACAGTGGGTGCTTTTGGCTAGTGGGTGGTCAGTGGGTGCTTTTGGCTAGTGGGTAAACAGTGGGTGCTTTTGGCTAGTGGGTGGACAGTGGGTGCTTTTGGCTAGTGGGTGGACAGTGGGTGCTTTTGGCTAGTGGGTGGACAGTGGGTGCTTTTGGCTAGTGGGTGGACAGTGGGTGCTTTTGGCTAGTTGGTGGACAGTGGGTGCTTTTGGCTAGTGGGTAAACAGTGGGTGCTTTTGGCTAGTGGGTGGACAGTGGGTGCTTTTGGCTAGTGGGTGCTTTTGACTAGTGGGTAAACAGTGGGTGCTTTTGGCTAGTGGGTGGACAGTGGGTGCTTTTGGCTAGTGGGTAAACAGAGGGTGCTTTTAGCTAGTGGGTGGACAGTGGGATCTTTTGGATAGTGGATGGACAGTGTGTGCTTTTGGCTAGTGGGTGGACAATGGGAACTTTTTGATAGTGGGTGGACAAAGGGTGCTTTTGGATAGTGGGTGGACAGTTGGATCTTTTGGCTAGTATATGGACAATGGGGGCTTTTAGCTAGTGGGTCGACAGTGGGATTTTTTGGCTAGTGTGTGGATAATGGGTGCTTTTGGCTAGTGGGTGGGCGATGGGTGCTTTTGGCTAGTGGTTGGACAGTGTGTGCTTTTGGCTAGTGGGTGACAATGGGTGCTTTTGGCTAGTGGGTGGACAATGAGTGCTTTTTGCTAGTGGGTGGGCAATGGGTGCTTTTGGCTAGTGAGTGTACAATGGGTGTTTTTGGCTAGTGGGTGGACAATGGGTGCTTTTTGCTAGTGGGTGGGCAATGGGTGCTTTTGGCTAGTGGGTGGGCAATGGGTGTTTTTTGCTAGTGGGTGGACAGTGTGAACTTTTGGCTTGTGGCCGGACAATAGGTGCTTTTGGATAGTAGGAAACAGTGGATGTGTGGTTAGTGGGGGAGGGGGGGGGGGGGAAGGGACAAGGTGTGTGGTTAGTGGTAAACATTTGAGATTTTAGTCATTTTGTTTGTTATATAGAGAAATAGAGAAATAGAGAAATGTATGGAAAATAATTTTAGTGATTTATTTGTAAATTGAGATCTGCTTTGTTAATAAGATATGACTCCACTGTTGTTCACTGTGTGGATTCTGGCAAGGAATCTAAAGTCTTCATACAAATAAACCAGAACTATAAAATGGATATGAACGCATAACTCATGTTCTGGAACAAGAGAACTGTCCAGAAATGGACGATAAACTGGAACTTTCTGCTGGAGTTAACAACTGTTGAAGAATAAGGAAAAACTCCACCATTTATCACAAGCTCTAATGTTGCTTTCATCCATTTGCTCAGTTTTTAGGTAAATTTCAAGTTATATGTTCCCAGCTATTTTAGCCTGCTTCCCTTATAGTTGGCTATAATTGCAATGTTTAAATAATGCAGACACAAACAATACATTGCACATTTTATTGCCAGGGATATTTCACTGTGTGTGGAAAGGACATGGCCATAGAGCATCTGAGTCCCATTCCATGACACCTGCCTTTCATAGTTTCCTGCCTCAGGTTTCATGAATGCCCTTCCTGTGTGGGTTCTGAGACCCCATTTTATGAGGGAAGACATTGACCCACCAGGCATGCTGTTAACCAGCAGTGTATTTCGGTTTCCAAAATATCATCACATGCCCTGCCAACTGGCGTAGGAGTTCATGCATCTGCACAGATCTCTGTCCCTTGCTCTCTGGATCAGTTCCACCAATGATATCCCTCCATGCCACATTGTGGTCCATCAGTCATCATCTCTCCTTGTCTGCCTCTCCTTCTACCGCTGATCTCTCCAGTCCTTGCAACATTCTCCATATGAAATAATACTGTTTATTAGCCAATTTTCTTCAATGTTCTCTCTACTAGAATGTTTTATTTTTCCGGTGTTTATTTGTAATTCATGATTTTTGTGGGAGTTTTTCAGTAACAGTTCAGAAGCCCAGATTTTCTCCTTTAGTGATATTGAAATAACCATTGCCCGCCAGGAAAGATACACATGTGAATATAATCGTAAAATCCTAATTTATTTCAGAACCATAGTGAAGATTCACTTAGGCAAGAGCTGCAGGCTTTACAGGAAGACAAGAACAAATATGAAACAACATCCAAGGTAGAGGATTTTATTACCATCTGTTGTGCTGTTAAATTGTAGTAGTTGATCTACCAGTCTCCAGTGAAGAACTAAGAACAGTAGTAGGCACAGTAGAGGCGAATGATTTCATAGAGCATTGAAGAATCAAGATAGAAATGGGTGGAGGGAGTAAAAGAGACACTACACAATCGCAGTATAACATTAACACAAGCTACGCAACTAGCAAAAGAAGAAAACTACATGTACTCCTATCTGCGGCGCTTTACAGCTTAAACAGGAGGCCAAAGTAAGAAAGAAGGAAGTTCTTATGCCAGTTAATCTTCTCTAAATGTGTTAATAGTAATGTGTTTGTCCACATTCTAAGATTAACTGTCATAGAAAAGAACAATTCAACAAAACTTGTTTATTTTTCATTTTCTGAATTGCGTCATCAACAGTGTCTTATAACATCACATGCTGGGTCACCAGTTGCTGTTGTCTGATTCACTCCCCCTTCCTCTGCTGGTCAGATATAATAGACTTCTTTTGTTCACTTAAAATAGATTATCTAGATCTGCAATGTTGTCTCTAGTATGAACTTCACCATCTTCTTTTAAAATTCACTCAGTGACCCATACAGTTTACCTTCCACTGGCGTTTCTCTTGGCCAGAAGTTTTGCTTTAAAGTGTTGTATTTGGGACAGTCTTGGAGGTCATGATCTGTTCTCAAATGCTAATCCACATGTGCATACGGCTGATTCATCAATCTTAGTTTTGAGGTTTTGAACAGCGGATCAATATCATGGCACACTGGTAGTAACCCATAATTGCTTTGTTTTTTAAACTCAAGTGTGAGTCCGAAGAAGCTCAGCACATTGCACAGGCTCTGTAGCACCGGCGAGGATCCTGAAATACTTTGGGTAGATTGTTAGCTCAACATTTTACCCAGGCAGCGCCGCTAAGCTACTCTTTTCGATTTCCAACTGCCAAGGGATTTTTTACATGCGCAACAATGCACACGGGCATCCGATCTCACTACCCAGAGACCAGGGGGAATTACTAGAAGTAGTCCAAGTCCACATGAAAAAATCCCAACCCTTACCGGGGATTGAACCCGGAACCTCCAGTAATTGGGGCGGACACCATGTCAATCTTAAATTTTGTGTACCTGTGTACAAGGTACTTAATAGTTGCATACTTGATTCCTGCCTAGTCAGCCAGGTTCTGTATCATGGTCTTTCTTGGTCTGCCTCTTCTCTACCAAGCCCTCTAGTACCCTTTTGGAGAGGCTGGTAGATCTTAATGCCTGTTCCATATCATTGCAATTTCATTCTTGTCACTGTTATTAAAAAAAGATTCATAGTTGCCAATGTGTTAAATGATGATATGTCAAACATCATTTGTAATGTAGTCTCTGTATGATATACCTAGGAACTTGAAATGCATTTTATTTTATTTTAAATTATATACATTAAATAGACATGTATTAATTGGCACTCATAGAAAAATAAAAAAAAAGTAGAGAGATAGATGTTATTTTACAGCACATCATAATTAAATTCATAACTGTTTCATTGCTTTTTAGCAAGAAAAACCATAATAGTTCCATTTGAAACATACAGGAATCCTTGAGACGAGTTCTACAGGAAAAATTGGAGGCAGTTACAAAACTTTCTGACCTGGAGCAGTCTCTGAGTAACATGAAGGATGAATGCTCCCATCTGAAGAACATGTGTGAGGGCTCCCAGCATGAGCTGGGGCAGCTGGCGGAGAAGTACCAGGAGCAGTTAAAGGAGGTGGCGGATTTGCAGGAGAAGCTACAGGTAAAGATTGTTGATTTCACATTTGTTCTTCACTCATGTGGCTTCACTGAAGCTGTCTTGTCTTGCCCTGAGCAGTCTTATCTTGGGCTGTCATATCTTGAGGTGTTTTGCTTTGAGTTGTCTTTTGTTGTCTTATCTTGAGTTGTACCTTGAGCTGTCTTGCCTTAAGTTGTCTTGTCTTGAGCTGTCTTGTCTTGAGTTATCTTGTCCTGGGCTGTCTTATCTGAGTGGTCTTGCCTTGAGCTTCTCGTTTCAAGCTGCTTTATCTTGTTGTCTTGTTCTGACCTGTCTTGTCTTGGACTGTCTTATCTTGACCTGTCTTGACTTGAGTTGTCTTGAGCTTCTTGTCTCAAGCTGTCTTTTGTTGTCTTGTCTTGAGTTATCTTGTCCTGGGCTGTCTTATCTTGAGACATCTTGTCTTGAGTTGTTTGTCATGAGCTGACATATTTTGAGCTGTCTTATCTTGTTTTCTTGTCTTGAGAGTTATCTTGTCCTGGTTTGTCTTATCTTGAGCTGTCTTGTCTTGAGCTGTCTTGTCTTTAGTTATCTTGTCCTGGGCTATCTTATCTGGAGCTGTCTTGCCTTCAGTTGTCTTGTCTTGAGCTTCTTGTTTCAAGCTGCCTTATCTTGTTGTCTTGTCCTGGGCTGTCTTGTCTTGGGCTGTCTTATTTTGACCTGTCTTAACATGAGTTGTCCCAAGCTTCTTGTCTCATGCTGTCTTGTCTTGTCTTGAGTAATCTTGTCCTGGGCTGTCTTATCTTGAGCTGTCTTGCCTTGAGCCATCTTGTCTTGAGTCGTTTGTCATGAGCTGACATATTTCAAGCTGCCTTATCTTGACCTGCCATGTGCTTTCTTGTCTGGAGCGGTTTAATCTTGAGCTCTCTTTTCTCGAGTTGCCTTATCTAGAGTTGTCTTATTTTGAGTTTTCTTGAACTATCTTGTCTTAAGTTGTCTTGCTGAGTTGTGTTGTGTTGAGGTGTCTGACAAATTAGGGATGATTCCTCCAAAGTCGGACTGTATCTGCCTGAGATGAGAGAAACCGAAAGTCTTTATATAAATAAAATGGATTTGCATGCAAAAGTTCTTGAACAAGACCGATATTTAGAAGTGGACGAACAAGCAGAACATTCAGCGAGAGTTACACTCAGTTAAGGCTATGAAGAAGAAGACACTCATCCACTCTATCGTAATTCTTACTTTAACTTCACCTGTCCTATAATGCTGTTATGTCAACTCCTCCCACCCAAAATGTTAATTAATGAAAGTAATAAGATTTTAGAATAAGAGTTGATGTAAAAGCCTTCTTGGTACCGAAAGAGTTAATGAATTTTCATTCTTGTGAACAGGAAGCTGAACAGAACCACGCCGCGGAGCTGGAGAAGGTAGAACAAGAAAAGGCAGAGATCTCTCAAAAACTGGAAGAAATGATGCATCAAGAGTCATCCTTATCAGCAAAGGTATATACTGTTTGATTTTTGACTTGGATAGTAGGATACTTTACAAGATTGGACAGCAATGTTAAACGTGTAAGTCCTCCGTAAGGAAGCAGCTGGAGTGCAGTGACTCAGTGCTCACCTGCTGCCGCGAAGATCCTGGGCTCGAATCTCCATCAGGCAGATATTGGGGAAAATATGACCTCGGCACCCGAGGTGACCCAGCCTAAAATGTATACCAAAAATTATCCAGGGAAGTTGACCACATCACCCATTGAGGGTTGATGGGTCTATATAAATATGGATCAGGCATATTTAGGAAGCATATCACCATCAGCCGGCAAAACAGAAGATGTGATCAATGACAGGTGTCACAGAGCAAACCAACTCATTGGGCAAATGGCACCAATTCTTAGAAACAAACATGTGCAATTAGAAACCAAAAGAACACTATATGACACTATCTTCTTACTAACCCTGTGCTACCAATGACAGACCTGGACAATGACAGAGAAAGAGAAAAGAAAAATTACAACATGAAATGAAATGAGATTCCTACTAAGGGCTTTTAATATAACAATAAGAGATAAGATAGGAAATGATGAAATTCATTGGAGAATGGGGTTAGAGGCGGCTCTGGATTTATTAGAAGACAACCGGTGAAGTGGGTTGGCCATATAATGGGGATGTCAGCAAACAGTATACCACAGCAAGCAACAATGGACAGACTAGTTGCAAATCCAACCACAGCATTTTTTGGCTGTTGTGGTTTTTCTAGGCTGTTTTACATCCAGTAGTTTGCCATTGCTGTCTGGACGGTCAGCTCCTCAATATCACTGTCGAAATCAAAGCAAGGCCCTCAGCTAGGATGGAACCCGACATTATGAAGCGCGTCTGTAACGCAAACAATTGGACCATATCTGTTGCAATATTCTGATACTGATTTATTCTTTTGTCCCCACAAGAAAACTAACTTCTGCTTCTCTGGCATCTTTCCCTAGATTGAGTCTTTACAGCAGGACCATGATTTTACCAAGGAGCAGCTGGCAGCTATGAAAGGTATGATTCTGTAGCACATTAATGTATCTGTAATATACCTGAGGTGGGAGTTGGAGCGTGGTATAGCGGCCAGACACTCGTTTGCAGATCTGAAGGTCATAGGTTCAAGTCCTGACTGAAAAAAAAAATTACATTGGCTGTCAGGTTGACCCAACCTTAAATGAGTACCAGGTACAGTTCTGGGAAGTAAAGGTGGCTGGCACGATGTTGACCACATCACCCACTGAGTGCTGATTTGTCTATAAAATATAGGTCTAGCCCGATCTGCCCAGTATGCCTAAAGGCGAGGAAAAGGGTCCTTCACTTTACTTTACAGGGTTAAGAGGCAGAGTGTCAGAAGAGGGTGGTACTTATTAGTTGTACTAAGTTTTCCAGTCCCATGAAAAGATATCAAATTAAAATTGAAATAGAACTAGTCAGTTTAACAGTATCGCAGTTGTGGCTAGAAAACCTTCATCAGAATATTACAGAAATGGATGGTGTTAACAATAAAAAAAAAAAACACATATAATCACTTGTTTTTATGTAAATTAAGGTATCTCACAGAGATATCCATAACAATTCTGAATAGTAGAAACTTAAGTCATGTGGGTTGAAATATTTTGGCAGGTTCTCTTTGTTCTGTGGTACTTCTGTTGTATTCTTGGATACTCACAATCTGTTCTAAACATACCAATTACTTAGTCGCTCCTTTAAAAAAAAAATAATATAAGGTTTGCCAGAGATTCGAAAGACGTCTCTATCAGCATTTCTTTCTGTTTGTTCCATTCCTGGTCAGTTAGGTGTCGGATGTTGTCTTCCCAGACCCTGGTCTTGTCTGGTTTTTTTGTTTTAGCCTTGTAGCCAAACTGGCCGATTTTCTCCCATCTGCATACAGACAACCATGTAGGACTGACCCACTCGGGTTAAAGGGCTGACAGAATCTTGGAGCTCGGACTTTGTGGTAAGACATTGTCACTTGCAATTCACCTTTCTCAGTATCTCATTTCCGAGGCCTGCAGCTGGCTTCTGTGAGCTGTTCATTGCCCCATGACTTCAATTTGTGACTCTTTTAGTGAGCCGTAAATTGCCATTTCACGCCTCTTGCAATTTCGCACAAGAAACACTCGGTTTACCTGGAAGAGTCTCCCAGCAGCTCCCCTTTTCGTCCCCCTACACCTACTTGCAGTAATACAACTCCATAAAAACTGGTTACCTGCTCCATGCTTCATCCCATGATTTGGTGTTTTCTCTCCTCTCTTGAGTGACCATGTTTTAGTTTTGGGATAATGATGGTCATCCCTCTCTTTTCAAGCTCTTCCTTCCAGACAAGTAAGTTGGACTGAAGGTGTGCCTCTGATTTAGCAATCAGGGCCCTACATAAAAAAAAAAACGTCGTCTGCAAATGCCAGCTCTGATATACAGATTGGTCTCATCTTCCAGTACCCTACAGAGTACTTCTTTGTCTTCTCCTTACAGGTCTTGATGACATCATCCATCATAAGAATGAAGAGGTAAGGTGAGAGAATATCACCTTGTCTAACACCGCTGGCGGTCTTGAATTCTACTGACTTTTGGTCTGCTGTTCTTACATAATTTCTGCACCTTTTGTAGAAACTCTGTATTGCACTGATCAGGGGTGCTGGGCTGTTCTAAACATACCAAGATAATATATTTAAAAAAATTAATATAATTTATAACAGATGAAAGATCTTGTATTTCTGTATTTGGTACTAGGTAATATAGATGTCTTGTGTTTTTTTTTTTCATTGTAGCTAAACTGGAATCTATCAAAGAGACAAATGAGGATGACCAGAAATTGACAGAACTGGAGCTCAATGGTAAGACATTGTTTGCTGCAATTCTGAATAATACAGTGGTCCCTCGGATCACAGACTTAATTTGTGACTCTTTTCTTGAACCGAAATTGTTTCACGCGCACGCACACACTCAGCCTCCTCCCCTCTCTCCCCCCTACACCTACTTGCAGTAGCACACAATAAAAGGGTTCTACGTCTATCCTTCATTGGTTTGTGGCCATACAGTGACTTTTCCTTTTGGGTTATATGTTCTTCAAACAGAACCAGAAAGAACTTGAAAGATCTCAGTGTGAAGGGAGAATGACCCACCAGACATCCCAAGGCAAATCAGAATGCCAGACATGCTAGATATTCATGAAGGATGTGAAAGGTGCAGAAACATGTTGTGAATTCAGTTAGACAGAAATAGATAATATCCAGGCAGACCTTAAAACACTTGGAATTGCCATTTGGAAAGAGAAGACTTACCATAGGTGATATCACGACAGTGAACCTCAAGGGCTTGGACTGCTGAAGCAGAAGATGAAGTTAGGTAGAAATTAGCTAAAGCAATATTTTGTGTATTCAGTTGCTACTAAGTAGCTTAAAATATCCTTTGTGAATTCACATAGGTAGGCATTAACTTAAAACAATGATTTATGAATTGTCTGAGGGTATTGCTAAAAAGAAATTTAAATCAGTATCCTAGTTTTACTAATGAGATTATTTTAAAATGGAAACATTTGTCTTCTCTGGGCATTTCAGGTTCTACGGCTGAAGAAATAGACATTATACCCTTGGGTCTCTCCAAAGAAGATGACGTTCCTGAGAATTTGGAAGGTATTCCTTATTTTTAATTGTGTGTCACTTCTGTTGCTGTTCTTTTCTGCATCAGTGTGTTTGTCCCATTTATATATATTCATCTTTAGATACCTTCTTAATTTAATCTGCTCAGTTGTCACTGTAATAGTTATGTGTTCTGATCCCCCTTGAGGTCGAATTTGAGACAGAAAGATTAAACACTGGTAGGCTGACCTAGCCTAAGGTTTGTGCCCCTTGACATTAAAGGCAGCCAGTGTGACAGTGACCAAATCACTCACTATAGAAATAGAGGGAGAGCATGGTGTACCGAAAACCTGCAAAACTTGAAAATGTTCTTTAAAAAAAATGTATTATTCCTGTCAGAATGGAGTGGAGTTAAGTTGCGTCAAGAACTAATATCACAGAACTTAGGCTTGTCCATATATACTCTGTCCTCATTTTTAGCAGCCAGTGAAGAGTTTAGATTCTGCTATACCAGTAGCAGTTTGATGATATGTCCATCCTACCTTTCTCTTGCACAAGAGAGTTGTATGGGAGTAAACCATGAGGTAGACCAACAAGGCTGTGGAGAGATAAAGTTAAAGTCGAGAGGATTGACTTCATTGCACCGGTTTTTATTCTATAGGGCTCGGTCCATCTCCACAGAGCGGCTAGCTGCCCACCGAGAGCATCGCACAAAGTACGAACTCTGTAGTGTTGACGATCCCAGAGATCTACATAAAAATTGCACTCCTGAACTAAATGGCGTTGTTGTGAAATGAACTCACATCGTTCGGAGTGAGAGGCGAACGGCTTGACCATTTCACAATAGAGAGATACATGCAGGCAGGCCTACATACTACACTTGGAGTCTCCAAGTGAACCTCATTGGCTTGAAATGTTGAAGCAAAAAAATTAAGATGTCATCATGCCATGAAAAAAGCCTCCAAATTTTAACTTTTTAATTTTTGATGTTTCAGCAAAACTGAAAGACCTACAAAAGCTAATAGAAACATATAAGGGTATGTAACTGTACTTCTTGTATCGTTTCACAAGGGAAATTAATGCAACCGGCAGTTATTTTATCAAGCAGTAAAGTATATATACACTACAGGGTTTAGAGACAGATCTCTGCTTCTTCTTTCTTTCTACTTTTGTCAGTATCGCTTTGTACAGTGAGGGGTAACAGTTAAATGGATATTAGTTACCTAAGCCAGGGTACGTTCAGCTGTTTGGTATACTGTGAGGTTTTTTAGCCGTCGGTGACTTCTTAGGTACATATCATGAACTTGCCCGCATGTCGTACCATTGCGAGATTTCATCTGGGCTCCCATTCAGGCAGTGGCTGTCCTATGTTCTAGGGGTGTTAGCATGTGGGTTCTTTCCCCTTTAACAAACATGCACACTGTGCAGAAAAAAAAAACAGCTCATGTTTTTTTGAGGCTTGACACAAAAGTGTGCGCAGCTGTCTTTTGTGGCAGTCGACAGGTAATGACCAGCTTTGGTTCTCATTGGTGACCCAGAAGTTGACAGGCCTGCAGTTTTACAGATGCTGTGTTGCTGCAGAAAAACGAGGCTACTCTGCTTGTCGCTCTTTAATAATGACAGTTGATTGAAATTCATCTCGCAGTTCACCTCACCAAGTAAGGCTACAGTGACAGTGATGAAAAGCCAAATGTACAATGCTGTAACACATATAGTGCCGCCAGCTGACGTGGAAAGTAGAACATGCTGGGCGCTTACAACGCGGAATATAGAATGCTTACAGCCTTGAAAATATCATGACACCCCTAAACATAGGACAGCCTGTTGGAATGGCCATGGCATGAATGGAAATGGACACAAAATCTCGCATTGGTGCAACATGCGGGCAAGTTCATGATATATACCCACTTCTTCAGTACATATTCTTTTGGGTCTGTCTCTGACTCTCCTTACCTGCATAGCACCTGCCTGGTATAGCCATTATAGGTGCTATAATTATAACTTCTTTGGGAATTGAACGGGGTATCTGGATTTTTAAATTCTTAGGATGTCAAGGTAAATATTCAGGTAGCAGTCCCAAGGAGACAAGACTGATTGATTGCTCAGACCTCTACCTCTTGATGTGTTAGTTTTCATATTTTATGCTCTTGCCATGGCAGATTGGGGAAAAATAATAGCAAAAGGCATAGTACCAGGAATGAGAGGCAGGGGCGGACCAACACGAAGATGGGCACCGGATATAAGTGACTGTTTGAATATGAAAGTACATGAGGTGTGAGAGCTGGCAAAAGACCGAGTTTCTTTCAGGCAGACTGTGATGAGAGCGACGTTCTGCAAAGGACCTGCTACATGATGATGATGATGATGATGATGATGATGCTCAGGCTGCTGGCATTGTTGGGTTCATTTGGACCACATCTCTACACTGCAGAGCAGCAGTTCTTAACCTGTGGGTTGTGACCACTTTTGGGTCGAACGACCCTTTCACAGGGGTCGCCTTATACCGTCAGAAAACATATATTCATTGAAGTTATGAAGTAGTAGCGAGAATAATTGTATGTTTAGGGTCCCACAACATGAGGAGTTTTATTAAGGGGTCACGGCATTAGGAAGGTTAAGAGCCACTACTGTAGAATGTAAGTAAAGCAAGGAGGTTTGCCTTACAGGAAATATTTCAGGAATTTAAAAAGGAGCCCTCTTCTCTTTTCGCTCATCCTGGTGACGTAATTGTGTTGTGCCTCTTTACTGCAGAGCTGCAATATTTGCACATTTCGACTAACACATCCAACTTCATCGAGCCTTTGTTGACAGGGTTAACTTTCCAGATAAAAGGAGTATAAAAGTGATCAGTATTAGTTAAGAAAATTACCACTTGAATGGTGAGAGCAAGAGGCTGCCCAGGGAAGAAGAAGATTGATGGCATTGAAGGCACTGTACATTCACACAGACTAGCGGTCAAAATTATTTTTAAAAAAAAATTAAATTTGCTTCATTCAAAAGTCAGGGTTGGCCAAAACCACTAACAAAAGGGCCAATGCCACCAGAAGAATTAGAAAGAAAAAAGCTTAGTGGTTCCTTTTTGGCTTGTCACCCTGACTTAACCCCCGGGCTTTCCCGTGTGGGTTCCACTGCCTGCCCAAAAGCATGTCGACTACTAATTGGCAGCTTTCTTTGAAATCGGAGTACATTTGCCTGAGAGAAGAGAAACCAACAGTCTGCATGCAAATGAGTCAGACCTCAATTTCAGGAACAGGACTAGAGTTCCGAAGTAGACAAACAGTCAGAACTTTCTGCCAGAGTTTACAGCTGGTGAGTGTGAAGAACAAGAAGAAGAAAAAGAAGAAGAATTCCCGGGCTCTGGATGCTAGGCCAGGAACCAACCTGGCAAACAGAACAAACAAAGCTCAGTGTTAGAAGTCTTTTTTATAGAAGTGAACAAGTAGAAGTAAATATTATGCTGGGGTTTTTGTATGTGCGCTTATTTGGTGTTAATTTCATTGTAGTCATTGATTCATTCACTGACATCTTGATCCATGATTTCTTGAAACTGAATCACTCAAACAGGCAAATTGGAAAGCTCAGACAACAAAGTGAAAGAAGGCAATGAAAAAATAGAGCAGCTACAAAGTAAGATTCACCATTTTGCATATTTTACTGTATATTGTGAAATTATTGGGTCCAAAGCGGTTACCGTATTTGTTCAAGTATAAAGTTGTAAATTAGTCTTATACATTTGAATGTGTGTAACCTATTTATTTCCTAATTTTGGGCTAAAAAAATAAAAATAAAAGCGATCAACTTCGACTTACACCTGCGTCTTATGTATAGAAAAATACGATAAATCATGTTCTTCTGTTCATCTGAGAATGTAACCGAACTGTGCTCATTTATTACATGGCTGCAATGTTTGCATTTGTCAGCGGTCACACCCTAGACCTTTGAGTCAACAGGCATACATCTTTAGAAGGGTCTGACCGAATGTTAAGAGAACACATGACATTGTGGCTAGAATTCACAAGTGGTTGAGAGGAAGTGAAGGAGAGCCATGTTGTACTTCTTGTGTTGTTTGGGACTGAAAGGATTCTTCTTCTTCTTCATATTCTCCAGCTGTAAACTCAGGTGGAAAGCTCTGGTTGTTCATCCACTTCTGGACTTTTATCTTGTTCCAGAATTTGAGTTTTGTGTGCGTATCTGTTTTATAGATCTGGCTTATTTGTATGCAGCCTGTTGGTTCCTTGCCTGCCAGGCAGATGCACTTTGACTTTTGAAGAAACGCCCCTAAATAGCCGACTGTTATGACATGGTTGTAAGAGTGACAGTGAGTCTATTCCTTTGTTCCCCAGAATGGGGTGCCAGGACTCACACCCGAAGGAATGATCAAAATGTTGGCTGGTAGTTTTGCAATCTGAAGCCATCATAAACATTTTAATAACGGTAAAGATTCATGGCTAAGCAGAATAAGGAAATTAGTCACAGTTTTGAGAGCATGCATCTTTCCTATAGCAACACACGGATGTGAGTCTTGGACTATTTCAGCATCATTGTTGAAGTGTGGGTTGGGGGTGCTTTTGCAGTGGAATGGTATAGAAAGATTCTCAGAAAACCTTGGGCCAAGACAACAAGAATTGTTAACATTCTAAAAGATCTGAATATCAAGGAAGATTGGCTAGTGGTAAACAATATCTTGCCTTGGAAACTGAAATACTTTGGCCAAATCACTTACCACCGGAATTGGAAAGAACAGTTTTACTGGTAAGCCCCAACAACAAAAATCTTCTTTGCCTACCAAGAAATGAACCCGGGTCTCCCGCATGAGAGCCCAGCACCCAACTGACTTAGCCAGCCACTCCCAGTTCCCATCAGAGTGTGTGTGTGATATAAAACATTGATGTATTATTCTAAAAATGATCAGTTTAAAATATTATCAATGGCTTTTTACAGAAGAGCTTGAAACAGCAGTAACAAAGTCATGGGAGTATCAGAAGAAGATATCATTTTTAGAAGGTAAGTCTGTGTTAGTTCTCTCTTGTTTGCAAATGAGTTTAGGTGTTTGACGTTTTCCCACAATTGATGTCAAAGACCACATGGTTCCCACTTGTTTATTCCTGGATGACACATCTCATCACATTGTTCCCACTGTTTATTCCTGGATGACACATCTCATCACATTGTTCCCACTGTTTATTCCTAGATGAAATATCTCATCACATGGTTCCCACTGTTTATTTTATTCCTAGATGAAATATCTCATCACATAGTTCCCACTGTTTATTACTAGATGAAATATCTCATCACATAGTTCCCACTGTTTATTACTAGATGAAATATCTCATCACATGGTTCCCACTGTTTATTACTAGATGAAATATCTCATCACATGGTTCCCACTGTTTATTACTAGATGAAATATCTCATCACATGGTTCCCACTGTGTATTACTAGATGAAATATCTCATCACATAGTTCCCACTGTTTATTCCTAGATGAAATATCTCATCACATGGTTCCCACTGTTTATTACTTGATGAAATATCTTATCACAAAGATTCTCACTGTTTATTACTAGATGAAATATCTCATCACATGGTTCCCACTGTTTATTCCTAGATGAAATATCTCATCACATGGTTCCCACTGTTTATTACTAGATGAAATATCTTATCACATGGTTCCCACTGTTTATTACTAAATGAAATATCTCATCACATGGTTCCCACTGTTTATTACTAGATGAAATATCTCATCACATGGTTCCCACTGTTTATTCCTAGATGAAATATCTCATCACATGGTTCCCACTGTTTATTCCTAGATGAAATATCTCATCAAATAGTTCCCACTGTTTATTACTAGATGAAATATCTCATCACATGGTTCCCACTGTTTATTACTAGATGAAATATCTCATCACATTGTTCCCACTGTTTTTTCCTGGATGACACGTCTCACCACATTGTTTCCTCTGTTTATTTCTAGAATACACATCTCACTAAGTGGTTCCCACTGTTCACTCTTAGATGACACATCTCACCACATGGTTCAGAGTTTATTCCTAGATGACACATCTCACCACATGATTCCGAGTTTATTCCTAGATGACACATCTCACCACATGGTTCCGAGTTTATTCCTAGATGACACATCTCACCACATGGTTCCGAGTTGTTCACTCTCAGATGACACATCTCACCACATGGTTCCGAGTTATTCCTAGATGACACATCTCACCACATGGTACAAACTGTTCACTTTTAGATGACACATCTCACCACATGGTTCCCACTGTTTATTCCTAGATGACACATCTCACCACATGGTTCCGACTGTTTATTCCTAGATGACACATCTCACCACATGGTTCCCACTGTTTATTCCTGGATGACTCATCTCACCACATGGTTCCCACTGTTTATTCCTGGATGACTCATCTCACCACATGGTTCCCACTGTTTATTCCTGGATGACACATTTCATCACATGGTTCCCACTGTTTATTACTATATGAAATATCTCATCAAATAGTTTCCACTGTTTATTACTAGATGACACATCTCACCACCTGGTTCCGAGTTTACTTCTAGAATACAACATCTCACCATATGGCTCCATCTGCTTATTCTTAGAATACAACATCTCACCACATGGTTCCCTCTGTTTATTCCTAGATGACACATCTCACTACATGGTTCCCATGTTATTATTCCCACATGAATCCATCTCAGTGTTTAACACCAACAGATGTGAACACCTTTTGTGCCTCTGTTTCAAACCCTAAAAGAATATTTCTGTGAAAATTGATTCCAAGTTAGTGGGAACCCTGTGCTGGTGTTTGGAAACATGTTTTGTGCCTGGTCATTTGTTGTATTTTTCACCCGTTTGTTTATGAATGTTTTGAAGGGTCGAGTGGGCAGTGATTTCAAATAACTTAGGTTTCATTTTTCTCGACTTCAACTTTAATTAGATAAATGCTGTTGTTCAATAATTAATGTTATAAGTTAAAAAAAAAAAAAAAAGGTAATTTTGTTTGCTTCATTTAATGATTAATGTGGCAGTTCTTTGGTTCTAAGTTGTAACTTTTTAATTATTAGAGAGATTATTAAGCTGTGATTTCAAGCTGTTTAGTCATTAAAGTGGCTGTAAACTACAAACTTGAAACAGTTTTGTAATTATTACTAAAAGTATTAGCTCAGAATTGAACCATAAACAATAGAAAAGTTACTTTAGTTGTTCTGAATGTTGTTTAGACAACTTTTGAAGATATATATATTTTAGAAATGTCTTTAGTATTTTGTAATTACTACTGTTAAAAAAAGTCATGTCAGTGTTAAAAGGAAAGCAATGTTATCATAAATTTGACATTCAAAATTTTTTTTAATTCAGTGAGTGAAATTGTTAAAATAAAATGCACACTACAATACCTTAGCGCTCAATTCACATTTAAGGTGTACAGGCTTTCCTATTAACTAAGGAATTGGATAAGTATGCAGTTTTTTTTTTTTAACAATGTAAAACAGCAAATAATTAGCCTGCTTATTCGAATTGATTATGATTATAAAATAGATAAAAAAAAAGGTTAATTTTAGGTATAAAATAATACTAAAAGGTTAATTTTACCTATAAAATAATAACAGGTTAATTTTATTTATAAAAATAATAATAGGTAAATTTTATTTATAAAATAATAATAGGTTAATGTTACATATAAAATTATAATAGGTTAATTTTACCATTAAAATAACAAAAGGGTTATTTCAAGTATAAAATAAAAATAGGTTTATTTTACATATAAAATAATAAAAAGGTTATTTTAGGTATAAAATAATAATAGGGTAATAGGTTTAATTTTAGGTATAAAATAATATGAATAGGTTAATTCTAGTGTTTGTTGGTGATGTTTTTGGTGTTTGTAATCCACTCTGGGGCAGTTCTTGTTTGCTGTATTGCACCTTATAATTTATTTGCCACTCAGAATGTGTCAAGTTGAACTTTGTCTTGGACTGGTTTTTCACAAATAACCTGATGTTTTTTTGTTTTTTTTTGTTTCATAAATTCTGACCACCACTGCCACTCATACTTTCATCTTGTCCCTTGTTATGTTGCACACACAGATAAGGTAAAGCTGTCGGATTACCACATGAATGAAATGATGGAGAATGCCCTGCTTAAATTGAAGTGTAAGTCCATGGGTGAAAAGTCATTGCTCTGATACACTGGTCGGAGGTCAGACTGTATTCATTTTGCTTTGCTTTCTGTTGCTGTTATAAATATGTTGGTCAGTGATTAGAATATAAATAAATAACAATGATAACTGACTCTAGAGGAATTTAACACCTTTTTTTTTAAAAGCCAGAATGTAGAATTTCACAATTACAAACAAGAAAACACAGTGTCACTTAACTGAAGTATCTCTGAGAGAAATCCCATCTCTCTCTGGCCATTTGAATCTCTGACACATGTGTGATTACTGGAAAAAAAAAATATATTAGCCAGAAAAAGCTGTAAATGGCAAGGACCATAGCTAAAACAAAATTAGATAAAACTGTTGGATGTTTATCTCCTTAGGCAAATGGGAGCCCATTTGATAAGGTGGCTATGAGAGACTTAGGGACTCTATCATTGGAGTGGCTAGTATTGTGCCACATATTATTAAGAGGATATATATATATAAAAACAAAGGCACACTTTAAGGCTTGGAACAATGGAGGAGGAGATGAGGCAGAACAGGAAAGACCTGGTTCTAAAATGTGGCTGAAGGGCCTAAGATACGTGAACATCAAGTCCAAGGCATCTGATCGTCAGAAATTGAAAGACCTGATCCAAAATGTCAGTAGTAACTGGGGGATCCAGTGACACACTGTCATGAGCAACTACAGGCAGGTGTATGGATAGATATCTCACCTTGTGGGTCACAGGGTCCCATTTTGAGAGACAAAGAATAGACCCATTTTCTTGTGCCAAGCATGTCATAAAAGGTGACTGATTAAGGGTATTTTCTTTGAAGTTGGAGTACATTTACCTGAGAGATAGGGACCCAACAGTCTGCATACAGATAAGCCACATCTGTGAAATGGATCTGCATGTAAAACTCAACTTCTTCTTTGTTCAACGACTGTAAGCTTTGGTGGAAAGTCCTGGGTGTTTGTCCATTTGGACTTCTTTGCGTGTACATCCGGTTTACTGACTTATTTATGTGCAGTTGGTGGTTCCTTGCCACTCGGGCAGGTGCGACTTAGAAGGAAGCCCCCACTTAGTCTTCTCCTAGGACATGCTTGTTGGGGAGGCAGTGGATCTTTTCTCATTTTTTTCCAAAATGGGGCCCCAAAACCCACACAGGGAAACTCAACATAGGACACAAGATCAAAGTCCAGAAGTGGATGAACAACCAGAACTTTCCACCAGTGCTTACAGCCGGTAAATACTGAGAAGAAGAAGCTAGAATAGATATCCCGAACATAATGGGCCAGGATCTAGAGAGAGGCATGGAGACCTACACAGTCTACCTGGCACATGCTGATGATACTGTCAAGTAGAAGACCCTTTTGTGCTATGCCATTGTGGGACATATGGTGCTAGACCCATTTTAAAAAATGGTTTAGTAAGCAAACAATGGATGTCACCTTTACATTCTATAACATTTCCTGATACCCATTTTAGAGTAGGTTAATCTTGGGGCCAAACCCACTCTCGTACACACACACACACACACCCCCACTCTCTCCCCCACCCACGAACAAACACACACACATCCCATCTTAATATTCTTTGACACACTGATGAATAGCTGATTTCTAATACAGGAAAGTATAGAATATGTAATAGATACATCAGATTTGTAAAAAATACAAATTAATGTATGTAATAGGTGTGACATAATCTAATGTATGTTTACATAACAGTGTGTGTGCATGGATGTCATTATCTCCGGCATGTATATGTTGTATTATATGTGGTTGTGTTTTTGTATGTGTACGATGAATGTGTATGAGCGAGTGTTTTTATAAGCTTTTTATTATGTTCAATTTTGTTCTTAAGTAAACTTTTAACTATGAGCCCGCACTGTGTATATGTTCTTTTTTTTTTTTTACTAAAGGCAAAAAAAAATAAACACAGACGAGGAGTAGAACTAGTCCGCTTCAGTACCTCAGTCACTAATAACAAAATGAGTATTACAGCTGGAAAGCCTTCATCAGTGTACGCCATGCTGAGGAAATCTCGTCCTGAAGGAATTAGTTTCATTTTTATGTCAGGACACTCTGGGGTAAGAGGGGATGCATTAGCAGATTGGCTTGCTGGCAGGGCCATGGTAGGTACAGGAAAATCAATGGACCAGGCCAACGTTCTCAGTGCTCTCAAGGAGACAGGACCAGATTATTATTTAGGAGATGACGTTGAATTGGCAACACTCAAAAGACTGCAAGAATTTGAGCTCAAAAGACATACAGCCAAAGAAGAATGGTAAAGCAACACAGAAATGCTGTTATCAGTCACCACAAGCTGAGGGATAAACTGAAGATGGGATCAGAGTGCTTATGGATTTGTCTGATGTGCAGTGATGATAATCTATCAATTATTTTACTAATTACACAGTGTTTTTACTGAAGCTTTAGAGAATCATTCATGTATGTTCTTTATAGCTAACTCTATCTTCCTGTCTTCATTATTTATTGACTATTTAATGTAGCAGAATAGTGTCTTGATTTAGTCATGCATGTCTGGTCTAACAGAAAATATGATGTTTCTTGATGTTGTACTAACTGCTTATATTGTTGTTGTGCTGCTGTGATTTTAGAAAACACTTGATAACCTATGGGTACCATTGACTTGTTTTTGCCTCTGTAAATGTGTCATATATGCGTGAATAAATGAATGATGAAGAATTGACCCTACTGCTCTCTATACATTTCCCTTGTTGCTCCATCTCCTTCTGCAGTAGCCAACTAAATGTTCCCATTATGATAGTGCCTGCTGCAGCCTAATTCAACGCTGACCTGTCTTTTTCTTTGTTGAAGAAAATAAACCAGACTTTCTGCTCACTCCCAGCTCAATCATTCTGCCCAGATATGTATGCTTTATTTGTTCTGCTGCACTATTGACTTCATCGCGGATGTGGCGACGCCTCTCTGGCCACATCCGCTTTATTGTAAAGTGGTAAAGCCTCACCACATCCGCTTTATTGTAAAGTGGTAAAAGCCTCACCACATCCACTTTTATTGTAAAGTGGTAATACACCCAATATACACCAACATACACCCCAATGTCCTGGGCCCGAAAAGTATATGCTTCTTATCTAAATCTTATCAAGCAGTGCAAGCTACACTGAGCCAGAGATGTCAGTTTTGTTTTCTTCTACAGCTATTTTAAAAATCTTTATTTTTAATAAATCGACCTGATAAAAATGGATTTCTGAAAGAGGACATTGTGTTTTGTGCATCAGTTTTGTTCCCCTTTCATTTTCCTGCCTTCTTTGTAACTGAGATTTGTTTTGTCTAATTTAAATGTATTTCGTTTCATTGTAGTGCAATTGAGAGAATCTGCTAAACAGAGCAGCAGCAGCAATGATTGGATAGAGACTATGAAAGGTAAGGGCTAATTTGTTTTGATTTACAGAGAAAGCACAGATTTGGTTGTTATGGAAGCACATTGTTGCATAGTAGTGGTTTATGTACTGGCTTACTGGAGGTGTTTTCTGGGGCACTAGGTTCCCAGTTAGCTAAGACCTGCAGATCTGTTTTTACCCCCAAAGGTCTGCCACAGGGCCCACATTTTATGTGTGTCAAAACGGTGACTAATTAGGGGTGATTCCTTTAAAGTCAGAGCTTAGAAAACAAACACAATTTATAACCATGAAAAAGATTTCCTCAAATTCCTGAAGAGAACAGACAAGTCACAGTATTTCAATTACACAGTGGACATTACAGAGTCAACAAACACTCGTGTAAACTAGCTATGAGCCAGACAGCTTTGTCTTTTTGCTGAACAGACTCCAGAACTCCAGAGACTGTCCTTTTTTGGTGGAGCTGTGAAATAACATATGGCAACACCCAGTAGACCTGACAACTAAGCTTTGGGAAAACCTAAGAGACCTTGAGATAACATCCCAGTTTATGGCCCACAGTGGATTAAGTGCATGACCAGAGATTGCTGAAGAAGAAGAAGTCACTTCAGTCAGAGCACATCTACCTAAGAGACGAGGAACCAACAGTCTGCATACAAGTAAGCCAGATCTGTAAAACAGTTCCTGAGCAAGACTAAAGTCTAGGAGTGGATGAACAACCAGAAATTTCTACCAGAGTTTACAACTGGGAGTGCTTAGCAGAAGTAAGAAGAAACTATAAAGAAACCTTGAGTTCCTTGATACGAAATGAGTCAGAGTTAGTAACTTCAGAAATGCTGAAACCAAAATTTTTAGAATGGGACACTGTAAACTCAGAGCACACCCACATCAAATGGGTCTTGCTAACTCTGCCGCATGTGGCTGTGGCTCACCAAAGCAAACTCCAGAGTAGGTCTTACAAGAATGCCCAGACTTTGCCAGTCGGAGAGGAAAAATTTACCTCTTAGGAGCGTTTGCTACAAGATAAAATATGGGGCGTCAGTGAAGACCTTAAGCATACTGTCCTGTTTATGACCCATATTGGAATAGATGCATAGCAGTCACTGATTGCTGAAGAAATGGGGAGGGGGAAGAAATTGAAGGTAACGTTACTCTTATATTTTTGTTGTGTGTCTACGTCTGCGGCTTTGTTGTTGAGAATGCAATTTCACAATCCCTTCATACTAAGGTTGAATGTCAGCTTCAAGTGATTTGGTAGCGGACTGCTTTGCACTGGTTTTGACAATTATATGAGCATCATACTGTTCAGGAAGCAATGGCAAACTAATTAAAGTAAAATTGCCCAGTAAAATCCAACAACAGCCAATAAATGCTGGGGTTGGTTTGAGAAATCTGTAAGATATCACCATCATTATTGTTCTTTTATGTTGTTATGTTCCATATATGGCTCACAGTTTATTCTTTCATTTCATTTTATCCTGTGCAGTTGTTATTTTATGGAATCCAATCTGTCACCTTTGGCCTGTGTTAACAACATTCATTCTAGGCACGAGAACCTACCCATGGGTTGCCACCCATATTTTAGACTTTATTTCTGTTTGCCAGGGAGTAATAAGCTATAAAAAACTGTTTTTTTAAAAACCGAAGTAAATTAATAAATAATGTTATTATATTAAAACATCCCTTTTCGGTGTGTTTTTCTTTAACATATTCAAAATAATTATTTATGCGGTCCCAGGTCACGTTGTCTCCTTACAATAAGGTTGCGACTCAAAAAAAAAGTGGGGGGGGGGGGGGAAACTGCTGATTATAGGGGTTCTGTTTTGGCAGCCTGTTTACTTACTCCATTTGTTTGCCATTTGGTGATTTTCTGTTCACTTCCCCTCGGGATGTGTCCAGTACGTCACTTTCTTCCTCACCTTGTCACTTTCTAAAGGATGTACACCTGACTTTGATTGTGTTGTAACTTAGATCACATTCATCTGATGGAGAAGGAGCTGACGCTGCACACGCCAGTCAACTCAGTGGAGAACTCCACCGAGAGCCTCGACGGAGACGGCTCCGCAGATCTGGATTCTTCCTCTTCTTCCTCCCCTTCCCGAAGCAACGTCTCCAACGTGACCTTGCTGGCCAGCCCTCCAGATCTCATCAGCAACACGGTTGTCAATGGCAGCAAAGAGGGCACATCTGCCCAGGAACAAGATATGGATACCACCGTGGGTGCTGAACTGAAACAGGCTGCAAATGGCGAAGCAGGTGCCACTTGTCTTGAGGAAGATGAAAACCTTCAAGGTCTGTAATTTGTTTGTTTTGCTTGTTACCTCTAATAAGATTTAGTATTTTTTTTGTGTGTGTTGTGCTTGTAAGTTGATATTCCTTCTCCCTTTCTCTGTGCTACGACCAGCATCACTGCATGTCACAGACACCACCTTTCATTGGGGGCAACCATTGCAACAGACACCACCACTCTTTACAACAAACACCACCACTCATTAACAATCGTTACCACAGAAACCACCACTTATTATAACAAAACAAAACAAAAAACACTTATTACAACAAACATCACCACCCACTTTGAAAAACATTACCACTGCTTTGTGACAGATGCCACTCATTGCAACAAAGACCACTGCTCATACTGACAACTACGACTGCTCATTGTGAAAACCAGTTCAACAGATACTGCCACATATTGTATCAAACACTACCACTCATTGCCACAAATGATTCTGCTTATAGCAGCCACCGCCACTCCACACCACTAAATGCCACTTCTCATTATGGTAGCCACCACCGCTCTGAGCCACTAAATGCCACTTTTCATTATGGTAGCCACCACCGATTTGTGCCACTAAATGCCACTTCTCATGGTAGCCACCACCACTCCACACCACTAAATGCCACTTCTTCTTATAGCAGCCGCCACTATCCCATTCCACATAACACCAGTTTCATTTTTTTGTTAAAAGTGGACTGGCATCATAGGCCCAAGACATCTCAAGGTGCAAAAATGACACTTTACTTTGTTTAAATTAAATTATTTACTCAGTAAAGTTTTGGTTAAAGGACAGCATTATATCCTGGGGTTCTTCCCGTGTGGGTTCCCAGCCCCATTGTTGGGAAATCAAGACTAGACCCACTGCCTGCCCAAAAGCCTGTCGTAAAAGTCGACTAATTGGAAGCTTCCTTCAAAGTCGGAGTTCATCTGCAGGCAGACAGTTGTTTCCAGTTAATATTTCCAGGCATGCAGTTCATATTTCCAAGAAATGAAGTAGCATTTCCAGGCACATAGTTTAAATTTCCATGAAATGAAGTCCTATTTCCAGACAAACAGTTCATATTTCCAGGAAATTAAGTTAATTTCCAGGCACACAGTCCATTTTTCCAGGAAATGAAGTCATATTTCAGGCACACAGTTCATATTTCCAGGAAATTATGTCATATTATCACTTACAGTTAATATTTCCAGGCACACCGTTCATATTTCCAGGAATGAAGTAATTTTTTCAGGCACACCATTCATATTTCACATCTTTTAGGTGTTAATATCATTATGTGTAGAAGGAAAAAAATATTATTTTAAAATGGGGACATTCAAAGCAAGAAGAAGATAATGAGGCGTACTGCAAGCAAAGTATGGAGGGAGAGTAAGAGAATGAGGAGGGCAGAGAGACAGATTTTAATGTTTTCAATGTGTTTTAATCCTCAGCATTATTAGAAGAAGCTCGGCAGGCTCAGAACAGAGCAGAAGTTGAACTCAGGAAATACAAAGGTAGGTTTATAAATAGATAACAAGTATTCTCACAGTAAATGCTGGCATGGGTGTCTGACATACGATCTGCAGAACAGACTTAAGGGGTCCATATCATTAACTGTTTGAGTCCTAGAAGATGCCTGATAGAAGCAGCAATGATGAAACAGGGTCAATACAGCACAATGTGGGCGACTGGTGTTGCTGGACTGTTGGAGTTTGCCTGACTGAACTTAAGATGTACAAATATACCAAACATGTTGATTGGTGCAAATAATGCATTTTTTGGAACTGAAAGAGTTTTTAAAAATAATGTCTACTTTAGAATGCAATCCTTTCTGTGATTCTGATATTTATAAATAATAATTAGTTGTGCCACATCAGAAAGAGACAATCTACATTCTTTGCTCATCTGATGGGAAGGAGAAAACAGGAGTACATTGTGACAGTAGGAAAGTCAGTGCGACAAGTGACCGCAGGAGATATTTGGGGCTGGTCGAGTAAGCGAGGAAAAGCCCGAGCTGGACTCGTGGTCAGTTGCTTACCAGAAGTTGTAGAAGACGGTTGTGTTAATAGAAGATGTAGTTTTAATGTCGTGTGAATGACCAGTGTTTTAATAGGTTGGAAGCGATGGAAGTGTGAATAATTGTTAGAGTACATTGAATAAATGCAACAGAATAAAGTGACAGCATATACATGGAAAAGGAGCGGCGTTTGTGTTATCAATCCTAGACGTTATAGCAGAAACGTTGCAGTAAACATATAAAGCCGAATCGTGGCAGAAAGCAGATTCGTTGCAGGCCAGATTCGTTGTATGGATGTACATGACCTGCAATGCCACACAGCATGGACTTTAAAAAGAATTAGTTCTGCACTGTGACTATTAAAAGGAATGGGGTCTGTGGCAGTTCTTTAAAAACGAGAGGGTTTCTCAAGTCTTAGATGATTAGGACCTACTGTTTATTTGGTCGTGTAGAACTATGTTCTTCATCTCATGGGCCGTTGCCCGCTTGTGGGTCGCAGGAAAAGTTTCAATTGGCCATGAACAATTTCTGCCCAGTCATGTAACAAGAAAAGAATAACCGTCTCTGAGTCATAGAGCTAAAAAATTGTTGGTCGTTTATTGTTTTTTCTTGACTTACTTTTTTTGTGAAAAGCTTTCTCAGCCATGTCATAATAAATACCAGAGAAATCTAATGGAAGTTACTGTATCACTTCATCTATCAGAAACTATGCTACTGCCATGTATATCAGATTTTCTAAACTCTGTGCCACAGCAGATGTTACTTTAACTCACAACTGTTTTTGTTTGTGTGTGTCATTGGATGTAACTTAAAAACTGCCATCTTTATTTATTATTATTTCTGTGTTGGTTTAAATATTGGACGGGCCGCGAAACAATGGTCCCCGTTTTGGTGAGCCGTGGAGGTAAAAAGGTTGAGAAACACTGGTGATTTTGAGATGCATCATTCAGTGGTGCTCTAACCTTGTGGGTTCCAGGGCGCCAAATTGGAGAACAAAGAATAGACCCACTGCCACCCCTAGCCCCCACACCCTCCCAATAAGCATGACATAGAAGGTCACTAATTAAGGATGTTTCCTTCAGAGTCTGCAAACAAATAAAGCAGTACTGTAAAATAGATGTGCACACAAAGTTCTGAATGGATACCAATTTTTAGGAGTGGGGGAACAACCGGAACTTTCTGCTGGAGTTTACAGCCAGTCATTGCTATAAGGAAGAGATGATGCCCAGGGCAGCAGTCACTGTTATTTAGATGATACTGAAGGTGAATGCACATTTATTATGTAACCAAAAAAGGCCTTCCCGTTTTTATTCTACATGGTTTTTCCCCCTGAACATTCAGCTTTAATTTTTACTTCATTTTTATGGATTTGCTAGCCTGCTGGTCTGAAAGTCTTGTGTTTGAGTCCTCACTGAGTCAGTTTTTTCCAAAACTGATCTAGGCTAAAATGAGTACCGGGTCATGTCCTGGAAAATAAAGGCGGCCGGCGCAATATTGACCACATGACCCACCAAGGGCTGATCAGTCTGTTAAAAAAAAAAAAATGAGTACTCATTGAGCCACTGCCGTTATTTACTTACTCATAGATTATTTTTTTTAAAGATTTATATATTTTAACTTCGTTGTTTAATATTGGTTTCTGGTGATTTTACTGTGTGTCGTCTCATTTGTGTCTGTATCTACCAGATGACATCACAGACTCTGAATGCAAGCTTCAGAAGAAGTCAGAAGAGGCGTCCTCCCTGAGGACTCAGCTGTTTGATGCCCAGCAGGAGGCCAAGGAGAAGGCTAATCTGGTTAAGGATCTGCAAGGTAGGATCACTGTAGATTGTGTTGCAGACTGAGCATTTTGCACATTGTTTTGGTTTACTATATATTCCTCTGGGAACCCCCTGGTGTAGCGGCTGGATGCTCACTTTTGGATCAAAAGGTCATGGGTTTGGATCCTAACAGAACCAGACTTTCTCCAAAAATGACTTTGGCTCCTAGATTTGCACAGCCTTGAGGGGGTAGCAGTTCTCGGAAGTAAAGGTGGCCAGTGTGATATTGGCCACATCACCACTAGATGCCGGTTGGTCTTTAAAATATAGGTCGTCTAGCCCCGATACATCTGAAGGCATGGAAAAGGGTCCTTTACTTTTTTACTTTTATATTCTTCTTCTTCTTTATGTTCACCAGCCATAAACTCCGACATAAAGTCCTGGTTGTGACATACCTGCTGGATGAAAATTTCAGCTCGATTTTGCCACTTTATGTCTGGTGGCCATCATCGGTAAACCCAGGATATTTCACATGGTATGACAAAAGGTGTCTTGGTGCGGCTGATTATGAGTCTGATGGCTTTGTTGTTTACCCAGTCCATTCTTTCTTGCTGGGTTCTGCTGACAGTGAGGAGGTCCAGACTGTAGTCTATGACACTCTACACAAGTACCAGATAGAGAAGGAGGTTCAGTATCGGCGGCTGCCATCACTTTAAATGCATTCAGGCCTTTTCTTGATGTGTGGAACAACAAACAAACAAAACCCAGACATAAACAAACTTTATTTTTAAAGGGTTAAGAATTGGGCACACAGGCCCGTCTAACATACTGCCCCTCGAGGTCTTCCTCCGCTTTTACATTAATTTATTCATACATAACGTAATGGTAAACATTATCACACGCACAAAACAAGGGCTATTTTGTCTGCCAGAAAGTTAATGAGGTAGTTAATTCATATTCTTGTGAATTTTCCTACAGAACAAGTGAAGAAAGCAGAATCATTCACTCAGGATGTCAAACAACAGATTCTTGATTTAAGAGGTATGTTATTCTCAAGGTTTCCTAGTGGTTGAAATCTATTTGTTTCATAGATCTGTTTTATTTTTTTATTTTGCCGTTGCTTTTTCATAGCTGAGTTTTATCTTTTTATTTTGCAGTTGCTTTTTCTTTAATGAACACTTTTTGAATTAAAGCTAGATTTGATCAGAACATATATGCTCTTGGTCATTTAGATCACTGTCATTTTCCGTATACGCAGGTTTTTTTTTTTTTTTCAGATGTTGAAAGATGGGAATTTAGTGGTCACTTGTTGCTAGGTCAGTGGTCACTTGTTGCTAGGTCACTGCTGACATGGCTCAGAGAGAGGGATAGGGGTTGATTTGTTTCAGCTGGAATGGAGAGATGTTTGAAACTGGATTAATATACTTACTTTCTGTTTATAGGGATGTCAGTTCTTGATGAAGGTTTGTGTGTAAATTGTGCAGACATCAGTATAGCACATCAGTGTTACTGACTTGGTATCAGTCCTGTACGTCAGTGATAATGTCATTGCGCATCAGAATGTCATCATTGTATTGTGCTTCATTGACACTGTCTTAACCTCAGCATTGTATGTGAGTGATAATTTCAGGATTGTATATCAGTGATACTGTCTTAATGTCAGCATTTTACCTCAGTGATGGTGTCAGCATTGTATGTCAGTGATAATGTCAGCAGTGTATATCAGTGATACTTTCCTAATGTGAACACTGTCAAAAACAAAAGAGAAGAAGAAGAAGACCCTCTTTACTGCTGTGGCACATTAGTGATTATTTGCTAGGCATAGGTTGTTATATACCAGTCAGCACTCAATGGGGGATGAGATCTATATCATGCGGGTTGCCTTCACTTCCCAGGGCATTACCAGTTACCTAGTTTAGTCTGGTTCTACCTGGGAAGCAAAGTCAGTTTTTAAGAAAAAAGTCTCTGAAGTTTCAAACTTAAGACCTTCAGGCCAGTAGGTGTGTGTGTGTCTAGTCATTACACCATTCTTTTAACCGTACCAGACCTGAGGCCCTTAATCTAACTGCCCCCTAAACCTGAGCTGCTGGGCATCAACACGAAAAAACCAATATGATATACAAAAATATTAGTTACATGCAAACAAGTGGTTAGAATGAGATGAAACTTGGAGACATTGTAGAAAACAGGATTACCTTTCATCTAGATCCAATATTCCACCTTTGTGTACCAATCCACACAGCAGGATCGGCTTTGTTTCACAAAGTGAGCACCAGATGTTGCTGTTTGAGGGACATGCCCCCTTTTTCTTACTATCAATCTAGTTTTAAATCTATAATTTTCAAGATTCTCCTCATCACCCAAGCTCACACTGACTGTGTCACTTCAACTAGGAAAATTTTCTTCATGAAATTCTGACTCCTAAGAATTTAAATCAACCAAAGTATCGATCACCTGTTAGACTGTGAAAAGCCTAGACCTACTTCACTTTCCTGTCGAAGTGCCTGGTTCATCAGCTGCTCGTTTCATTGTGAATTTTCAGAATTCTTTCATGTTAAACCACACAAAGTAAATCCAAACACACAATTTGCAATGACCAACCACGAGGTCTGACCACAATTGGCTAGTTATTTTTAGTTTGTGATGTACACCGGTTTAATGGCAGATTAAGATATTACCGCAGTAGATGTATATCGGTCTGGTCTGGAAGAGTTAAGATGTGTGTACACATACAGTTTTTGATATTGTTGTTGACCACATGACCACCCAAGTGCAGATAGGTCTACCAAATGTTAGTCTAACATCATTTGTCACTGTTATTAAAGAGGTCCACTTTTTGTTTTATATAAGCTTTTATTTAGTTTGTGTTTATCTGGTAAAATTTTTGCATTTAATTTTTAAAAACAAAAAAAAAAAGCTATACATGTGCATTCCATGATGGCACACCGCATGTATGTAAGCATGTCTGTCTGCATGCCCGACAGATCGGATGGTGGAAGAGCAAGAGTTTTTAAAAACCAATCAAGAGTCTGTGGTTTTGCTGAATTGTGAGTGTGCTTCTCAATGTAGCTGCTTGAGAGTATCATGTTTATGGGTTGGGGGCTTCTGTGTACCCTGGCTTGTGCTTCACATCTGTACAATTCGGTGCTGTTTTTCCATTGAGATTTTTTGCATGCTGATATGTATGCTTTAAACACACACACACACACAGACACAAACAGACACACACAGACACACACACACACACACAGACACACACACAGACACACACACACAGACACACACACACACAGACACACACACACACAGACACACACACACACACACACACACACACACAGACACACACACACACACACACACACACACACACACCCCCCCCCCACCCCCAATAGTTATCCAATAGCCTGTTCCTGTAAATATATATATATATATCCCATATGACTAAAAACGATCAATGACCCAGATGTTAAAAAAACTGTTTATTTATTGCTTAAACCCTAAGGTATTCTTGTATGCAATTTGAACATTTTCACTACAAAAATTACAAAGATTTTGAATGTTAAAATTAAGACAAGAGTATGTTCCTTTCAGTAGCTATGCATTTCTTTCTTCTGAGTAGTAAAGTACCATAGGATAGCTATGTGTTTCTTTTTTGAACAGTATATAAACTTTTTTTTTTCTGAGTAGTAAAGTAGCATAGGATAGCTATGTGTTTCTTTTTTTGAACAGTATATTAACTTATGTATGTAATTTCCACTGTCATTTTCCAACATAAACAGAGAGACTTTCCAGAATAAATGTTTAATTAGAATCTTGTGAATATTTTGGCCAAACAATGTCACAAATGAAGAAGTGAGGAGGAAGACAAAAATGTTCATTACTATCAAGTGTTATCAGAGTAAGACGATGGAGATGGCATGAACTTAAGCGATCGCCATGTGACACTTTTGCAAGGGCAGCTCTCTGATGGATGGCAGATATAAAAAGGAGACATGGATGACCTAAGGAAACCCGGAGAAGGACAGTAGAAAAGAAAATGAAGGAATGGACAGAAAAGCAGCAGACTGACAGCAGTGGGTATCACTTGTAAATGCCTTATATGTCAACTAGTAATATTCTACAAATATTACAGTTTTATAAGTCTACATTAAACCATATTCATTAACATTTTTCTGAAAAGCTTTTAAATGCAAAATAATCACTTTAGTATAACTGCTTTTAGTACATGTATTCTGGATACATTTGTTGGGGTTGGTCCTAAAATTGCTAACTTCTGGTGGCTTTTATTACAGTCAGTAGAGGGAATATGGCGAATGACTAAAACGTTTACAGTGTCTTCTTGACTTACGACTAAGTTCTGTTCTGACTGACTATGTTCATTCATCATCAAATAGCAGGTTCTTTTGCAGAACGTATCTCTGCCTGAAAGAAACTCAGTCTCTCGCCAGCTCTCCCGCCTTGTCTGCTTCCATTTTCAAGAAGTCACTTATATCCTGTGCCCATCTACGTGTCGGTCGGCCCCTTCCCCTCTTTTCTGGTACTAGACCTTCTGCTATTATTTTTTTTTCCCAGTCCGCCATGGCACTTGATATGACCAAAATATTTCAGCTTCTGGGACAAGATGCTGTGTATTAGCAGTCTTTCTTGATGTTCAGATCTTTTAAGATATCAGTATTTTTTCTCTTTTTTTTTTTTTGAACACAGTATTCTAAGAATCTTTCTATAGCATTTCAGCTAAAAAGCCCCTCCTAAGGATGGGTGAAAAACTTATATATAAAACATAAAGATAAAATCTGTGCACATATAATTATTGTACATAATGTAAAAAATACATAAGTATGTATTCTATTCAGAAACTGGAAGTTTTTGTTTTTACCACTGTAGTTATCTTTCTTTAATGACCATTTTATTTATCTCGGGGGTGGGGGTGGGGGGGGTACAACGTAAAGGTCGTGAGTCAAGGAGTTGTGTTAACAAACTACATACATTTATGCACTGGTGTTTTCACAGACAAAGATGAAATTAAATAGTATGAGAAAATCAGCTAGTCTGAGCTTATATGGAGAACTAATCAAACTCCAGTGAATAAAGAGTGACATGATGCTTGTTTTTTTTTAAAGTAGGAAACACATTGAGCAAACATGACTGTAATACAGTAAAACCTTGTTAACACAAATTCCAAGTCATGTTACAAAAATGTGTGCTAATTGGCAACTGTTAGGTGTATTATGAATAATACCTCCCTTTTGTGAACCAAAATTGTGTTCATGTTAGCTGAGTGTTCTTCTTAAGCGAATTCATGTTAACAAGGTTTAATGTATAGTTAGAATGTCCTTGCACTGGAGGACAGAGAAAATGTAGGAAGATAACATGAAGATAACATGACCTTTGACCCGTTAGGGGCATGGAGGTGTATCAATGGAAGCACTAGCACACAAAACCCACTATCTTTCTCTGTCTTCTTCTTGCTAAACAAGTGTATGGAAATGTAGACCTGCTTTTTTCTTGATGTTCCAAGTTCTTCTTCGCCCCTCTCTTCCTCGACTTACACCCCCCCCCCCCCCACCCCATAATATTCCTTGAAGTATAGTGTTTGCAATCGAGTTATGTCTCACCACATGACCAAACCGGAGTCGCTGCAGCGGAGCGGCTAGACACTTGCCACAGATCAGAAGGTCATGGGTTTGCTCCCTGGCAGAGCCGGACTTTTAAAAAAAAATTACCTTGGCTCCCAGGTCAACCCAGCCTTGAGTGGGTACCAGTGCAATCCCGGGAAGTAAAGACGGTTGGCGTGGTGCTGACCACATCACCCATCTTGTGCCGATTGATCTATAAAATATAGATCTAGCCCTATATGCCCTATACGTTTAAAGGCAAGGAAAAGGGTCGTTTACTTTTACTTTTTACTTACATGTCCGAACTAAATTAGCTTGTAACATTTCACCACTGCCAAAAGAGGCTCCTGGCGTCCTGTAAATTTTGTTCATTTTGTCTCTTACATGCGTGGACAGTGAATAAAGAACCAACCCAATATATTCTTGGTCTTCTTCTGTCTGTCATCTGCCAGTGGAGCCGAGCCCCTTAACCAACTAATCCCAAGCCGTTTGGAGACTTTTGCTTGATTGGTTGGATTTTACAGCTAGTTTTGTACTGGATAAAGTCACCAACTCTGCTTAGTTGCCGCTTATGACATGTATGGAAGGTTTATATGCTGCTGTTTTTTTGCCTTCCTTACTGGCTCCAGTAACACATCTATGAATACAGTAATCATCATCATCATGTGGTGTGCTGATAAGTATATGCCAGGGCCATTCAACTGCTGGTCCGCCGGTTAGATCTAGGCCTTGGAGGACTTGCAAGTGGCCCATGGATCATTATGAGTTTAATTGTATAAATGATCTTTGTATGCTGGAGCTCCAGCCTCTGGTCCATGACAATCCCCATTTTTATAATTTTGTCCCCTGAGTATACTAAATTGAGCAGCCCTGGTATATATTGTCATATTTTGCTGTGTTACATGATCACCAGAATCTCAGGTCAGGTCAGCTTTCTTGCCTCAGCTCCATCCATATGGTCAAGCATATATATCTTTGCCTTCCCCCTGTTTTTATTTTTCCATCACTCTTGACAGCTTTCACCAACTGCCTCTCTAACAAGCATGTCATAGGAGTCGACTAATTGGGGGCTTCTTTCAAAGTCAGAGTACATCTGCCTGAGCAGCAAGGAACACACACCTGCACACAAATAAGCCAGTAAAACAGATGCACACCTGCACACAAATAAGCCAGTAAAACAGATGCACACATGCACACAAATAAGCCAGTAAAACAGATGCACACAAATAAGCCAGTAAAACAGATGCACACAAATAAGCCAGTAAAACAGATGCACACATGCACACAAATAAGCCAGTAAAACAAATGCACACAAATAAGCCAGTAAAACAGATGCACACATGCACACAAATAAGCCAGTAAAACAGATGCACACATGCACACAAATAAGCCAGTAAAACAGATGCACACATGCACACAAATAAGCCAGTAAAACAGATGCACACAAATAAGCCAGTAAAACAGATGCACACATGCACACAAATAAGCCAGTAAAACAGGTGCACACAGGCCCTGGCATGAAGCCAAAGTCCAAATGGACGAACAACCAATACTTTCCACTGCAGTTTACAGCCAGTGAACAAAGAAAACATGTGTCAAATAACAGACTTTCTTCTCTGATCAGCTTACAGTTTACATGGGTCTTAAGGATGACTTCCTCATTCTTCTATCGTTTCATTCTGCATAAAAGTATATTCTGGTCACTTACATACATGCCTACACTTGTGAACTTACTAACAGCATGTGGACAACTGGCTGCTTCACCCATTGACTTGATTTTTTAAGCTAAACATGGTCGAAACAAATTTTATTGTAAAAAAAAAAAATCAGTTGTGTTTTATATAATGATGGCTTTCCTTTGTTGAATCTTAAAAAGCCACATAAATAAATGGTCAGTAATACACTGTACAGGTGCGGTTAAAAAAGTAGTTGTGTGTTATATAATGATGGCTTTCCTTTGTTGAATCTTAAAAAGCCACATAAATAAATGGTCAGTAATACACTGCAGAGCAGCGGTTCTCAAACTTTTTTTTGGCCACGGCACTCTTGTCGAGCAAAAAGAATTTCACGCTCACCTACCCTTAAAGCGGTTTGAATACTTAGGAAAAGAAGAAAAACAACGCTCATTGAATGTTCATTGTCTTTAAAGAGATTAATGAAACTGTTTGGATAAAACTTTTTCATTATTTCCTTTTTGTTTATGGGAAGTTTGGTTAATTTTATCCTCAAATCACTTGACCCAGAAAAGATTGCTCCTGTATTTGTTTTGTGTGTAAGGGTACATTGAGAATGCACATCAGCCTTGCCAATAGCATTGCTTTCTGAATACACCTGCATCCAAAACTCTTCTTGGCTTCCTTTACAGTATTTGTAATTTAAACTGCTGTCTTGACTGATCTCAAGCAGGTTTTGCAAAAATTCTTGATTGTTGCCTGGCATACGCTCATGCCACCCCTGGGTGCCGCAGCACCCAGTTTGAGAGCTGCTGCTGTAGAGGAGTGGGTGGTCAAAAAAAGTGGAGTGTCTGCCTCACAAATTGTGGGACATTTTGTTTTGAGAAAGTCAAGGACCCTCTTCAAACCAGTGGCACATTAGGCATGTGATGCTACTCAGATTTTTATGGACCACTTGGGGCTGGACGGGCGATGTTGACATCTCACCAGCTGCCTTTACCGCTTAAGACTTTACCGGCTTTCTGATTTAGGCTGGATTGATCTGGGAGCCAGGAATAATTAGTAGATTGATGCCTTGATGCAGATTGTGGAGCCTAGATCTGCAGGCCAGCATCTAGCCCAGTGGTTTTCAAACTTAGAGGTGTGCACTAATGGGGCTCAGTAAAATTTCCCAGGGAAAATTCCAGCAATTTTGATATTAGACGAAACAGATTTCCGGCTTAATTATACGTAAACTATTAACAATTTAAACCCAAAAAAAAACAAAAACTTCACGGTCAGCTTGGTATGGAGATTGATCATCTCCATTATGTTGATCATCTCCATTATGTCTTTCTTGTCCAGCATCAGACACAGAGTAGGCGATATCATGAAGATAAAACAGTGTCAACCATTACATTAATTTTTGTACACTAAGTTAAGATCAGTTGTTGGTGATTGTTTCTTTTGTGTTATTTGGCACTTTGATCTAAATGATGGTTTTTTTTTCTCTAGGTTCTTGTTAATAATATTGCTATTATTTTTGGGGGTCCTCTTTCTGATCAGAGAGATTTATCTATTTCAGTGGAAAGGATTCAGTTTTTCTTTTCAAGTTTGTTAGAAGTGCAGCATATATGTTTGTTAGATATCCATCATCTAAGCTGCTCTGAATTAATTCTTACTTTTGATTTTGTGTATTTTATTTAGATCAACTAGAGAATGAAAGGACTAAGAACAAAGCCACCGAAAGGGAACTAGAGGAGGCAAAAAGTAAGTTGATTTGTGTGTGTGTGTGTGTGATTTAGTTATGAGTTGTTAGTTATGAATTAACATCAGAGTACTCAGGACATTCCCGTAAGCACTCCATCCCCAGCTTCAGCAGCAAGCACAGAGTTCCAATTCCAGTGGTACTAGGAACAGTCTGATTGTATTTCCACCTGGCCTTTCTCCCGAGTGTTTGCGTTTCGGCCAGATCCCTTGCTCACTCCTTGCTGCTCCATTCTCTTCGGACTGTTGATCTGTGGGTGCCTAAGCCGACTCCCATATGGGCCCTAACAAAATAGAATAGCGCAGTCAAAAGGAGGCTCGCTTTCAAATCCAGCTGGGACTCACTGCAGCCCAGGGCCAGTGTTTGAAACTGGGCGTTCTCAGGGTTCACCCAGCCTCTAGGTAATCTTGGTACCAGAAAACACTCTGGGGTAAATGGAGGAACCTCGCTGTAGCTACGGAGTTGCGTGCGGACGGCGACACAGGCGGACAGTTTCTTATCAGCTGTCTGTACTGGTGGCAGAGCCCTTATAGTTTATAACCGTGTGCAATGATGCTGGTTCACATCTCCCGACTTTACCTTTTTACCTCCTCCTCCCCCCCCCCCCCCCTTTCCCTACAAAATAGAATTATTTTGTCTTTCAGAATTGTAATAAAAAGTATGCTCAGTAATGGCAAAATTAAATTCCTAACCTGCACGGTTTGTGATAAATGCAATTAAACCAACCTTACGTCCTAAAATCATGCAGATAAAAATGTGCTCCATTACCCATCATCATCATCATCATCAATGAGCCTGCCCTTTTCAGAACATCACTGTCGTCACGACACCCTTGAAAGTCTCTCTCTAGTCACTTCTCCAGCCCTATATAATTTCACAGCCAATGCATCTTCAATGTCTTACTTATATCCATCTTTGTGGAGGTCTGCACTTATGCAAAAATACACACCTAGTGTATGTATTTCATACATTTGATTTCATCATCAGAATACTTAAGAGTAGTCAAATCTATAATAATTCAGCAGTAGTTTTTGTGTACGGTCAGCTATCTTTTATGCATGCAAATATGCCATGCATACTCTCTCTCTCTCTCTCTCTCTCTCTCTCTCTCTCTCTCTCTCTCTCTCTCTCTCTCTCTCTCTCTGTCTCTCTCTCTCTCTCTCTCTGTCTCTCTCTCAGTCCCTCCCACACCCTTTCTGCCCCTCTCTATGTCTGTCATGCATGCATATATATACACACACCTGTATTTACATGCGCACACACACATGACACAACTCGAAAAGTGGCCTCACTATCCCCTCTTCTGCCGTCAACAGTGCAGCTGGCAACATGGCAACAGAATGCCAAACAGAACCACAATGAAACGGAACACTTACGAGGTGAGCATGCTATTTCTGTAGTTTTCATTTTAATTAGTTTGACCACTTTCTGTTTTAAATTTGCATTGTTTTTGTATCGAAAAAAGGTTACAAATTGTGTTGTATTTTTGTATTGATAAATAAAGATAAAGAGAAAATGCCACACAGCATAGTCAATTCTGTGTTTGTGTGGTAGCTATTTTCTAACTGCAATTGTAACTTAAGCTGATAACTGGAATACTTGGTGGGAAAAAAGCAAGTAGACAAGAAGAGGAATAAATATATGGATGGTTAAAATTCCTGGAAATAAAAAACTTTATAGAGAGGTAGAAACTTATATGGGAAAGAAGAAAGCAACCTATATGGGAAAGAAGAAACTGAAGTGGAAAAGAAGAAACTTATATGGTAAAGGAGAAACTTATATGGGTAAGAAGAAACTTATATGGCAAAAAAGAAATTTATATAGGAAAGAAGAAACATGTGGGAAAGATGACAAATTAATGATGAAGTCAAGTATGGTCGGTTTTAAGCACATTGCTTACTGATTGATTGTACCTGTTGAAAAAAAAAAATAAGTATTGTTTATTTAACCATACTTTCTAGCAGGTCGATTCACTAATTCAGAGTTTTAAGTTAAAGGGTCAAGTCTAGAGGATCAAGTTAATTGCACTGGGTTTTATCCCATATGACTCAGTCTCTCTTCATGGAACAGTCTGCTGAGAGTGTCACACAAAGCACGATCACCTAGCTCCGGTACGATCCCTATGGTCTCTGTAAAAATTGTTCCCATGAATCGAATGATGCAGCCATGAAACAAACCCATGACTTTCGGAGCATGGTGAGCTGTGGTAACACAAGGCTTACATGCTAGTCTCGCAGTTAATCTTTCAAATCTCATTAAAACCGGGATTTTTTTTACAGTTGACATGCACCTTCCTGGTTGGCATAACCTAGAAATGGTTACCAGGAGATGTTTGGGGGAAGTAAGAGTCCAGAATTTATTTGACCACATAGCTCATCGAATGCTGATTCTTCTTTCCTCTTCTTCCCTGTACATCCCCCAATGGAGCATAGGCCCTCAGTTAATTCACACAAGGTCATCCTATCCATTGCTGTTGCATGCAGCTCATCCGATTGTCCCCCCTCTCTGTCTTCATTTTCTAGCTCCCTTCTACTGTGAGAGTCACCCGCCCTTGTGTAGCAGGTAGATGCTCGCCTGCAAATTGGAAGGTCGTGAGTTATAAGATCCTGATAGGATCGGACTTATTTCAGAAATGACCTTGACTCTAAGATTGACCTGGCCCTTGAGTGGGTACCAGGTACAGTCCTGGGAAGTAAAGGCGGCTGGCGTGATGCTGACCCCATCCTCCACTGAGGGCCAGTTAGTCTATAAAATATAGGCTAGCCCTTTATGCCCAATATGCCTGAATGCATGGAAACGGGTCCTTTACTTTAAAAAAATGTTTTTACTGTGGGTTCAGGAGCAAGACATTCTAGTTATATTATTCTCAGGTTTTCCCAGCATAAACCCTTTCCAACGCCAGCATCTCTTTTTTACCTCTTGATTCACTTGAATTTGTTTAGTTCTCTCCCAGAGCTGAACATTAGGGATTGTATTATACCATTTAAGAATGTCCCCATTAATTTCAATAATTGGTTGACATATTTGTTGGAGATTTGTTATGTTTATTAGTTTAAAATGAAATCAAAGCCTTTTTTTAGTCCTAGTGATTTTGGCTTACTCTTAAGCATGGTATTTTATTCTTGCTTCTTGTTTCTTTCTAACAAGAAAGATAAGCATGCTATGTGTGAATAAACAAGTCACAAGAGGTTTTGAAATAAATCCTGCTGCACAGTTTATTCAAGAATCAATAAATGTTTAGTGTAAACAGAGAAAATGATATTTCAAATACACATAAATAAATAAACAGATGGAGAACTCTAGGCCATTGGAACATTATAGGTAATTAACAAACAGACAAGGTATTGATTAGTACTCATAGAAGAAAGTAGAAAGATAGGACACACTAGACATTATGTTGAGTGTGTCCTTCCTTTCTACTTCTTTCTGTGAGTGCCAATCAGTACATTGTCCGCCTTGTTATTACACCAAGTGCAAAGACAAGCATTGCTACCATAGATATACTGGCCTGCTGACAAGTGGTAATATTTCCAGACATACATTATATTCCACATAAAGTTGATTTCCTTAAGCATAGATAGATAAAATATCAGAATTTGTAGCGTGAGCCCTAATTGTTGTCAGTGTTAAAGTGCTAGCAAGTGTGTCATTTTGTGACATAAACATATTACTGTAAATTTGTTGTAAACTAGTGTACTTCAGATTATTCTTTGTTGTCTGTCTCTCTTTCACTGTCTGTCTTTTCCATGACTCACTGTTTGTCTGACTCACTGTATTTTTTTGTTGTATCTCTCACCCTTCCCCCCTCCCTCTCCTATTTCCCACCTATCTCTGTGTCTGTATTTCCTTCTCTCTCCCTGCCCTTAAATCTTTCCCTGCCTATGTCCTTGCTCTCATGAGTGTAATTATGTGTGCATTTGTGTATGTAGGTGAGAGAGAGAGAGGGAGAGAATATGAATGAATGAAATAGGCTCCTACATTGGATAATAAAATACGTTCATACAGTGCTAAAAACGTTTAATGCGCATACTGTAATGTGATACATGTGTTCATTACCCCACCACTGTTCATAGAATGGTGACCGCACAGGTGTTTGCATCTGTACCTGCATGTGTTTCCCTTTCTGCAACTGTTACTAGTGCTTATGTTTTTGCTTGGTGGCACTTTGCTTCCTTCCTCAGTTTTTGTCCCATTTAATTTGCACTAGCAGACAGTTATATCTGTTGTTCTTCTTGTGGGTTCTAGAACCCAGTGCGGGGAGGGGGGTCCATTCCCCCAACTAGCATCAAATAAAATTAATAGACCAATGGTGTTTCCTTCAAAGTTGGAATGTGTCTGCCTGAGAGATGAGGAATCAGCGATCTGCATACAATAAGTCAGATCTGTAAAATGGAAGTGCATTCAATACTCCAAGTTCTAGAACAAGACGAGTCCAGAAGTGGTTGAACAACCAGAACTTTCCACCTGAGTTTATAGCCAGTGAACTCAATGAAAAAAGTAGTAGTTTGTGATCTGCGACACTATTCTTTGCTTTCTCTATGATTCCTAGTAACACGTGGGATCTCCCTGTGATGTTGGTTCTCGATTTAACTCAACTTTAACAGGTCCATTTACCTGCATGCACTCACATTTCGTCACTGGCACCTGCCTACACTCACATTTTGTCACTGGCACCTGCCTACACTCACATTTTGTCACTGGCACCGCCTACACTCACATTTAGTCACTGGCACCTGCATGTTTTGAAGCTGTGTAGTCTCTGTTCACATTTGTGGAGATTTGTGAATGTCTTTGTATAACTTGCTATTGTTCTTTATTGGGAAGTTTATGATTACATTATACAGACCCAGTCATGAGCAGTAAGCTTACAGGCTGCCTGGTCTCGAGGCATGGCCTCTGCGTTGAGGGCTGGAGGTCCCAGGTTCAAGTCCTGGTGAAGGCTGGGATTTTTTCATGTGGACTTTAGTAATTTTCCCTGGTCTCTGGGTAGTAAGATCAGACGCCCGTTTGTATTGTTGCGCACGTAAAAAAAAACGTCAGTTAAAAATAAAAAAAAAGTACACCGTCTTTCAGCATGGCCTTGGCTTCTAGTTTGACCCAGCCATAAATGGGTATCGGGTAAAGTCCTGGGAAGTAAAGGAGGTAAAACATAATGACTCCTCTCAAATGTTACTTAAACTCCTTATATTCCCAGCCAGTGGTTCCCTGTTATTTAAACAGGATGACCCCTCTCAAATGTTACTTAAACTCCTTATTTTCCCAGCCAGTGGTTCCCTGTTATTTAAACATGATGACCCCTCTCAAATGTTACTTAAACGCTTTATATTCCCAGCCAGTGGTTCCCAGTTAGGTAAAACCTGATGACCCCTCTCAAATGTTACTTAAACTCTTTATATTCCCAGCCAGTGGTTCCCTGTTATTTAAACATTATGACCCCTCTCAAATGTTACTTAAAACTCCTTATATTTCCAGCCAGTGGTTCCCAGTTAGGTAAAACATGATGACTCCTCTCAAATGTTACTTAAACTCTTTATATTCCCAGCCAGTGGTTCCCTGTTATTTAAACATGATGAGTCCTCTCAAATGTTACTTAAACTCTTTATATTCCCAGCCAGTGGTTCCCTGTTATTTAAACATGATGACCCCTCTCAAATGTTACTTAAACTCCTTATATTCCCAGCCAGTGGTTCCCTGTTATTTAAACATGATGACCCCTCTCAAATGTTACTTAAACTCTTTATATTCCCAGCCAGGGGTTCCCAGTTAGGTAAAACCTGATGACCCCTCTCAAATGTTACTTAAACTCTTTATATTCCCAGCCAGTGGTTCCCTGTTATTTAAACATGATGACCCCTCTCAAATGTTACTTAAACTCCTTATATTCCCAGCCAGTGGTTCCCAGTTAGGTAAAACATGATGACTCCTCTCAAATGTTACTTAAACTCTTTATATTCCCAGCCAGTGGTTCCCTGTTATTTAAACATGATGACTCCTCTCAAATGTTACTTAAACTCTTTATATTCCCAGCCAGTGGTTTCCTGTTATTTAAACATGATGACCCCTCTCAAATGTTACTTAAACTCCTTATATTCCCAGCCAGTGGTTCCCTGTTATTTAAACATGATGACTCCTCTCAAATGTTACTTAAACTCCTTATATTCCCAGCCAGTGGTTCCTAGTTAGGTAAAACATGATGACCCCTCTCAAATGTTACTTAAACTCTTTATATTCCCAGCCAGTGGTTCCCTGTTATTTAAACATGATGACCCCTCTCAAATGTTACTTAAACTCCTTATATTCCCAGCCAGTGGTTCCCAGTTAGGTAAAACATGATGACTCCTCTCAAATGTTACTTAAACTCTTTATATTCCCAGCCAGTGGTTCCCTGTTATTTAAACATGATGACTCCTCTCAAATGTTACTTAAACTCCTTATATTCCCAGCCAGTGGTTCCCAGTTAGGTAAACATGATGACTCCTCTCAAATGTTACTTAAACTCCTTATATTCCCAGCCAGTGGTTCCCTGTTAGGTAAACATGATGACTCCTCTCAAATGTTACTTAAACTCCTTATATTCCCAGCCAGTGGTTCCCTGTTATTTAAACATGATGACTCCTCTCAAATGTTACTTAAACTCCTTATATTCCCAGCCAGTGGTTCCCAGTTAGGTAAACATGATGACTCCTCTCAAATGTTACTTAAACTCTTTATATTCCCAGCCGTGGTTCCCTGTTAGGTAAACATGATGACTCCTCTCAAATGTTACTTAAACTCCTTATATTCCCAGCCTGTGGTTCCCAGTTAGGTAAACATGATGACTCCTCTCAAATGTTACTTAAACTCCTTATATTCCCAGCCAGTGGTTCCCTGTTAGGTAAAACATGATGACCCCCCCAGAGGTCTGCCACAGACCCCGTAGTTTTTAATGGTCATACTGAAGGCATCTGTGGCTTAGGCGTTTTGAATGCGCTTTGAAATGACGGGTTCGATCCCAACTGCAGGCAGTTTGGAAGCAGAACATTTTGTGTTGGTTTCGACAGCGGAACTGAGAGCTGACCATGCAGAAAGCAATGGCTAACTACTAAACCTAAAATGTGATAATTAAAAAAAAACCACAACAGCAAAAACAAATGCTGGGGTTGGTTCTGCAACGTCCTGTAGAGATAACACAACTAACTTTTTTTTTTTAACTGAAGAACTTATTATAATTTGTAAATAAAAGAATCTCAAACATGATTGCATCCTAAAGTAAAGGATATCGCAGATCCCTTTTGTTTGTTCTGTGGACTCAGAAGTCAGCAGACTACCAAATCAGAAAGACTGTTCTAAGCAGTTTTAACTCTTGAAAAAAATTTTGAAGTTTGCTCTAAAAAAAATTTTGAGTCTCATAATAACATTAGGGAAAATGTGTCAATATACACATAATTTGGTTAATATTAGAACTGGAGATGGTTCACATGAAGTTCACACAATTCTAGCATATCATTTGACCGCAGCAAACACTTGGTGAAAGAATGCGTTGGCGGCTAGACGCCCACCTGTGGATCGGGAGGCCATGGGTTTGCATCCTGATGGAGCCGGACTTTTTTTCTCTTCAGAAATGACCTTGACTCTCAGGTCAACCTAGTCTTGAGTGGGTACCAGGTGCAGTCCTGTGAAGTAAAGGTGGCCGGCGGGATGCTGACCACATCACCTACCATGTGCTGAATGGTCTGTACAAATATAGGTCTAGTCCTATATTCCCAATACCCTTAAAGGCGTGGAAAAAAAACTGTTTTCGGTTCCCTGTAAGTGCTTCCTTTCGGGCTTGTCTTCAGTGTTGTTTTTACAATGTCTTGTTAATACTATTGGTTGATTTTGCGGGTGTGCACGGTCTACTAGGTCAGGATATGACTGTATTTAGGAATAGTAACAGTTGGGGGTTTCCACTCTCAGCTTCCTGACTTTTTAAATGACATTATGACATCATAATTTTTCAATAGTGTTAAAGGTCATGGGGTCATGACATGAGTCACTGGATACAAATCTTTTTTCTTAAAGCCCCAGGGAATGTATTTCATTTATTGTTTCGCCCTGTTCATGTTTTTTTCATTTTCCCTTTATAATTCTTTATATATATACACTTAAACTCCTTATATTCCCAGCCAGTGGTTCCCTGTTAGGTAAAACATGATGACCCCCCCAGAGGTCTGCCACAGACCCCGTAGTTTTTAATGGTCATACTGAAGGCATCTGTGGCTTAGGCGTTTTGAATGCGCTTTGAAATGACGGGTTCGATCCCAACTGCAGGCAGTTTGGAAGCAGAACATTTTGTGTTGGTTTCGACAGCGGAACTGAGAGCTGACCATGCAGAAAGCAATGGCTAACTACTAAACCTAAAATGTGATAATTAAAAAAAAACCACAACAGCAAAAACAAATGCTGGGGTTGGTTCTGCAACGTCCTGTAGAGATAACACAACTAACTTTTTTTTTTTAACTGAAGAACTTATTATAATTTGTAAATAAAAAGAATCTCAAACATGATTGCATCCTAAAGTAAAGGATATCGCAGATCCCTTTTGTTTGTTCTGTGGACTCAGAAGTCAGCAGACTACCAAATCAGAAAGACTGTTCTAAGCAGTTTTAACTCTTGAAAAAAATTTTGAAGTTTGCTCTAAAAAAAATTTTGAGTCTCATAATAACATTAGGGAAAATGTGTCAATATACACATAATTTGGTTAATATTAGAACTGGAGATGGTTCACATGAAGTTCACACAATTCTAGCATATCATTTGACCGCAGCAAACACTTGGTGAAAGAATGCGTTGGCGGCTAGACGCCCACCTGTGGATCGGGAGGCCATGGGTTTGCATCCTGATGGAGCCGGACTTTTTTTCTCTTCAGAAATGACCTTGACTCTCAGGTCAACCTAGTCTTGAGTGGGTACCAGGTGCAGTCCTGTGAAGTAAAGGTGGCCGGCGGGATGCTGACCACATCACCCACCATGTGCTGAATGGTCTGTACAAATATAGGTCTAGTCCTATATTCCCAATACCCTTAAAGGCGTGGAAAAAAAAACTGTTTTCGGTTCCCTGTAAGTGCTTCCTTTCGGGCTTGTCTTCAGTGTTGTTTTTACAATGTCTTGTTAATACTATTGGTTGATTTTGCGGGTGTGCACGGTCTACTAGGTCAGGATATGACTGTATTTAGGAATAGTAACAGTTGGGGGTTTCCACTCTCAGCTTCCTGACTTTTTAAATGACATTATGACATCATAATTTTTCAATAGTGTTAAAGGTCATGGGGTCATGACATGAGTCACTGGATACAAATCTTTTTTCTTAAAGCCCCAGGGAATGTATTTCATTTATTGTTTCGCCCTGTTCATGTTTTTTTCATTTTCCCTTTATAATTCTTTATATATGCCCCCCCCCCCCCCCCTCAAAAAAAATGGTGATATTTGTTAGTGACCTGTTTAAAAAAAGGTTTGTATTTTTTCTGTCTCTAGGATTTTTTTTTTTTTGGTGTGGTTTATTTTAATTTCCAGAGCGAAAGAGTTAAAGAGCCTTTTACATTCCTTTTGCACACAAAAACATATAGTTTTACTCATTTAAAAAAAAATTTGGCACCCAATAGGTGATATGGTCAGCACCACACTGCATCTTTCTCATTTTAAAAATCCAAACAGGCAACACGTTGAGTTGAACAAGATTCTGATACAGCTTGAGGCCAACGCTGTAAACTCTAAATCTCCCAGCCCCTACCCCCCCCACCCCACCACACTTTTTTGTGTGGGGGTGGGGATGTCATTTTAATTTGAATCTGCATGTACTTGTGCATTGTTTGCATGTATTTTTATTCAAGCGATTGTTTTGATGTTCACTAGTGAATGTGTATCCCTTTTGGTTTGCTTGGTAAAACATTTTTGTCAATCAGTTTCTAGTGTTTGCTTCCTTTCATTTTTGTGTGTGGATGTGTTGCATGTGTTTATGCTCTAGCGGCATGGTGGCTCTGTGATGTTGTACTTTGGAAATTCTTTCGGTGGTATTTCTGATTGGCTTGAACGCCAATTCTTTGTTCCTTCCATTCAGACAAGTTGAGGCATTTGCAAGAAGAATTGGAGTCGGAAAGGAATCGAAGAGACTCTCAACGTCATGGAGGGCTCACAGGCAAGAGCAAAGGTAACAGAAACTCGTGGCTTTGGGATATAGGTGTTGTGGATTCGTTCTTGGTTATATTGTGGATTACTTTGTGTCGTGTTCTGTGGTGGATTACTTGGTTTCATTTTCTTTTATGGGTTACTTGGTTTCATGTTGTCTTGCGGATTACTTTGTTTGATGTTCTGTCCTGGTTTATCTGGTTTCATGTTCTCATGCGGGTTACTTTGTTACATGTTCTGTCCTGGTTTACTTGGTTTCATGTTCTCTTGCGGATTACTTTGTTTCATGTTCTGTCCTGGTTTACTTGGTTTCATGTTCTCATGCGGATTACTTTGTTTCATGTTCTGTCCTGGTTTACTTGGTTTCATGTTCTCATGCGGATTACTTTGTTTCATGTTCTATCCTGGTTTACTTGGTTTCATGTTCTCATGTGGATTACTTTGTTACACGTTCTGTCCTGGTTTACTTGGTTTCATGTTCTCATGCGGATTACTTTGTTGCATGTTCTGTCCTGGTTTACTTGGTTTCATGTTCTCATGCGGATTACTTTGTTTCATGTTCTGTCCTGGTTTACTTGGTTTCATGTTCTCATGTGGATTACTTTGTTACATGTTCTGTCCTGGTTTACTTGGTTTCATGTTCTCATGCGGATTACTTTGTTTCATGTTCTGTCCTGGTTTACTTGGTTTCATGTTCTCATGCGGATTACTTTGTTTCATGTTCTGTCCTGGTTTACTTGGTTTCATGTTCTCATGTGGATTACTTTGTTACATGTTCTGTCCTGGTTTACTTGGTTCCATGTTCTCATGCGGATTACTTTGTTTCATGTTCTGTCCTTTTTTAATTGGTTTCATGTTCTCATGCGGATTACTTTGTTTCATGTTCTGTCCTGGTTTACTTGGTTTCATGTTCTCATGTGGATTACTTTGTTACATGTTCTGTCCTGGTTTACTTGGTTTCATGTTCTCATGCGGATTACTTTGTTTCATGTTCTGTCCTGGTTTACTTGGTTTCATGTTCTCATGCGGATTACTTTGTTGCATGTTCTGTCCTGGTTTACTTGGTTTCATGTTCTCATGCGGATTACTTTGTTCCATGTTCTGTCCTGGTTTACTTGGTTTCATGTTCTCATGCGGATTACTTTGTTTCATGTTCTGTCCTAGTTTACTTGGTTTCATGTTCTCATGCGGATTACTTTGTTTCATGTTCTGTCCTAGTTTACTTGGTTTCATGTTCTCATGCGGATTACTTTGTTACATGTTCTGTCCTAGTTTACTTCTTTTCATGTTCTCATGCGGATTACTTTGTTGCATGTTCTGGTTTACTTTTTTCTTACTCTTTCTTGGATTACTTAGTTTTTATTTTTGTCATGAATGCTTCAAGTTTTGTTGGCCTTCTATAGATTAGTTAGTTTCACTGCTGTCAGATGGATGACTTTTGTTCGATGCTCTCAGATGCATTAGTTTATTTCGATGCTCTCAGATGCATTAGTTTATTTCATTGCTGTCAAATGGATTATTTTTGGTTGTTTTGTACACTTCTGGACTTTAATCTATCAGGCATATGCACTCTGACTTCACAGGACTCACCCCTGATTAGTTGACATCCTTTTTAGGGAACAGTTGGTCTTTTCTTTTTTCCCTACCTACAACAGGGTCCCAGAAGCAACACTGGGAATTTCCCTACCTACAACAGGGTCCCAGAAGCAACACTGGGAATTTCCCTACCTACAACAGGGTCCCAGAAGCAACACTGGGAATTTCCCTACCTACAACAGGGTCCCAGAAGCAACACTGGGAATTTCCCTACCACCTTAAGGAATAAATAAAAGTTAGGTAAAGCTTTCGATACCATGAGTAATTTTGAAAATCTGGCACTGACCTTCTATTTTTGTAGACCAGTTGACACTCACCGGGTGATAATTTGTGTCACATCAGCCATTTTTATTTCCAGGAGTGTTTTCTGATAGACAAATTTTAGGTCGACCTAGGAGCTTAAGTCAGTGGTTTTTATTTTTTAAACTCCTCATCTCAAGGGAGATTTGAACACCTGACCATCAAGCCAGCAGATATGCATGCTAGTCGCTGGTCAGTTATGAATCCCAGGTGAGTTGAGTTTAGTCAAGTCAAGAATTGACATCACAGCACTCGGGGCATTCCCATGTGTGCTCCGTCCTCATCTTTAGCAACCAGCACCAAGTTCCAATACTGATGGTACCAGTCACAATCTGGTTATATGTTCGTTTCCAGGCTATAATAATCTGTTTATCTACTGAGAAATAAGTATGAATCCCAAAGGGAATATAGGAGAACAACATTTTGCAGCCTTGTATGTGACATAAACATATTCTGTTTCTGAGTTTACCAGGCCACTGCTAGCAGTGACTTCTTCCTTCTTCTTGTGTGTGTGTGTGTGTGTGTACGTATATAAAAAATATTACTGCTGACATTTCTGTTGTATTAATAGATTTTTACTTTCCATATTTGTTATTGCTGAAGTGGAAGTGAAGATGCATCTGTTTGCTTTTCTTTGGCACACATTTTGATGATGTAGCGTAAATGTCTTGTGTGAAGATATAGTTTATGTCTACTATAGTTGGGCTTTTATTGTTAATGTGAACAGATGCAACCAGGGTTGATGTTTTACTTTTTTGAGTGTGTGTGTATGTACGTGTGTTTGATTGTTTACAATGCCTTGTCAAAAAGCAGTCAACCACTTTTGTTGTAACTGTTGTTTCCATCGAAGACGAACTGCACATCTAGTAGCAGACTGATTGTGTTGGCACTTCTAGCAGCTGCCTTATGCAGTATTGCATGTAACGTGTTGTAACTACTGCTTCCATCGATGGTGAACTGCATATCTTGTAGCAGACTGATTGTGTTGGCACTTCTGATAGCTGCCTTATGCATTTAATGTGTGTATTTGCTATAAACTTTGCAAAAACTGCGGTCTGTTTCAATTTTTTTTCCTAATAGACAAAATTAGGTATACTATGTAGTTTTCCCCAGTGGCACAAAAATTGAGAAATTTTGGGTTGTTGTAACTGTCAAATTAACTGACAAGCTCACCTTCCCATTTTTAAGCTCAAAGCAGTGGGGCATGAAAAACCAGAACCGGAATTTCACATTTGTGAAAAGACAAGATGATGCTTGGATTATTAGCCAGATTTCAGATTTGAGTCTGATGATAATAACCCCAAGGAGCTGCTTAGAGGTCTTGTCCATTTTGAAACCATCAATAACTTGTGACCTCTTCTTTTGCTTATGAAAGCTTTAAGAATTAAGTGATTTAGGACAGTTCATGATGTGTATTTGTAAAGCAGGCACTAAAATATGTGAGGAAGTGTGTGTGTTTTTTTGGGTTTTTTTGCAGAGTACTGAATTAGTTTTGTCTTTCTGTTGGCCTGATATGGATCTGTAGATTGGCAATTAATAAACGTTATTGGGAAATATAGAAGGTTAATCTTCTTCTACAGCAGCCGTTCTTAACCTACGGGTAGCGACCCTTCTTTGGGTCGAACAACCTTTTCACATGGGTCGCCTAAGACCATCAGAAAACACATATTAATTGAAGTTATGAAGGAAAATAATTGTCTCTGGGGGGTCACTTCAACATGAGGAAACTGTATTAAAGGGTCGCCACAACATGGTGGAACTGTATAAATGGGTTAGGAAGGTTGAGAGACACTGTTTTGCAGTCATCTGAAGATTTTAATTGCATTATGCATGTTTACAGCATGGCTGCGATATTTGCGCCCTTCACTGACACATCCGACCTCTGTAGGCATTTATTGACTGGCTAAGCCTTCCCCGGATTTTGAAGGTTTATTGTTGAGGTTTTGGAAATGATTACCCACTTGCTCTTATCTTTCCTTTTTGTGTAATAACCACAGCAGCTCCTTCATTAAACTACGGAGCATGTTGGAGATCTATTGCAGCCAAACCTTCATTGATTGTTGCAGTAGTTCATAGGCACATGTTTCTTCAAATACATTCAAACAAGTGAAGAAGAAATCCTGTTTGATATTGATGAGACTAAGAGGTGTCCTGTTGTGTGGTCCATCAGGATATTTGGACTGTGCAATAGCTGTCATGACGGCTACTGACCTATTGTCTGGCAGTACATCAGGATATTTGGACTGTGCAATAGCTGTCATGACGGCTACTGACCTATTGTCTGGTGGTACATCAGGATATTTGGACTGCGCCATGTCATGACGGCTACTGACCTATTGTCTGGCAGTACATCAGGATATTTGGACTGTGCAATAGCTGTCATGACGGCTACTGACCTATTGTCTGGTGGTACATCAGGATATTTGGACTGCGCCATGTCATGACGGCTACTGGCCTGTTGTCTGGTGGTACATCAGGATATTTGGACTGCGCCATGTCATGACAGCTACTGACCCATTGTCTGGTGGTACATCAGGATATTTGGACTGCGCCATGTCATGACGGCTACTGGCCTGTTGTCTGGTGGCACATCAGGATATTTGGACTGTCATGACAGCTACTGGCCTGTTGTCTGGTGGTACATCAGGATATTTGGACTACGCCATGTCATGACAGCTACTGGCCTATTGTCTGGTGGTACATCAGGATATTTGGACTGTGCCATGTCATGACAGCTACTGGCCTGTTGTCTGGTGGTACATCAGGATATTTGGACTGTGCCATGTCATGACGGCTACTGGCCTATTGTCTGGTGGTACATCAGGATATTTGGACTGTGCCATGTCATGACAGCTACTGACCTATTATCTGGTGGTACATCAGGATATTTGGACTGCGCCATGTCATGACAGCTACTGACCTATTGTCTGGTGGTACATCAGGATATTTGGACTGTGCCATGTCATGACAGCTACTGACCTATTGTCTGGTGGTACATCAGGATATTTGGACTGTGCCATGTCATGACAGCTACTGACCTATTATCTGGTGGTACATCAGGATATTTGGACTGCGCCATGTCATGACAGCTACTGGCCTATTGTCTGGTGGTACATCAGGATATTTGGACTGTGCCATGTCATGACAGCTACTGGCCTGTTGTCTGGTGGTACATCAGGATATTTAGACTGTGCCATGTCATGACAGCTACTGGCCTATTGTCTGGTGGTACATCAGGATATTTGGACTGCGCCATGTCATGACAGCTACTGGCCTATTGTCTGGTGGTACATCAGTATATTTGGACTGTGCCATGTCATGACAGCTACTGGCCTGTTGTCTGGTGGTACATCAGGATATTTGGACTGCGCCATGTCATGACGGCTACTGACCTATTGTCTGGTGGTACATCAGGATATTTGGACTGCAATGGATGTCACGACAGCTACTGACCTATTGTCTGGTGGTACATCAGGATATTTGGACTGTGCCATGTCATGACGGCTACTGGCCTGTTGTCTGGTGGTACATCAGGATATTTGGACTGTGCCATGTCATGACGGCTACTGGCCTGTTGTCTGGTGGTACATCAGGATATTTGGACTGTGCCATGTCATGACGGCTACTGGCCTGTTGTCTGGTGGTACATCAGGATATTTGGACTGTGCCATGTCATGACGGCTACTGGCCTGTTGTCTGGTGGTACATCAGGATATTTGGACTGTGCCATGTCATGACGGCTACTGGCCTGTTGTCTGGTGGTACATCAGGATATTTGGACTGTGCCATGTCATGACGGCTACTGGCCTGTTGTCTGGTGGTACATCAGGAAATTTGGACTGCAATGGATGTCACGACAGCTACTGACCTATTGTCTGGTGGTACATCAGGATATTTGGACTGTGCCATGTCATGACGGCTACTGGCCTGTTGTCTGGTGGTACATCAGGAAATTTGGACTGCAATGGATGTCACGACAGCTACTGACCTATTGTCTGGTGGTACATCAGGATATTTGGACTGTGCCATGTCATGACAGCTACTGACCTATTGTCTGGTGGTACATCAGGATATTTGGACTGTGCCATGTCATGACAGCTACTGACCTATTGTCTGGTGGTACATCAGGATATTTGGACTGTGCCATGTCATGACGGCTACTGGCCTGTTGTCTGGTGGTACATCAGGAAATTTGGACTGCAATGGATGTCACGACAGCTACTGACCTATTGTCTCGTGGTACATCAGGATATTTGGACTGCGCCATGTCATGACGGCTACTGGCCTATTATCTGGTGGTACATCAGGATATTTGGACTGTGCCATGTCATGACAGCTACTGACCTATTGTCTGGTGGTACATCAGGATATTTGGACTACGCCATGTCATGACAGCTACTGGCCTGTTGTCTGGTGGTACATCAGGATATTTGGACTGTGCCATGTCATGACGGCTACAGGCCTGTTGTCTGGTGGTACATCAGGATATTTGGACTGTGCCATGTCATGACAGCTACTGGCCTGTTGTATGGTGGCACATCAGGATATTTGGACTGTGCCATGTCATGACGGCTACTGGCCTGTTGTCTGGTGGTACATCAGGATATTTGGACTGCGCCATGTCATGACAGCTACTGGCCTGTTGTCTGGTGGTACATCAGGATATTTGGACTGTGCCATGTCATGACGGCTACTGGCCTGTTGTCTGGTGGTACATCAGGATATTTGGACTGTGCCATGTCATGACGGCTACTGGCCTGTTGTCTGGTGGTACATCAGGATATTTGGACTGCGCCATGTCATGACAGCTACTGACCTATTGTCTGGTGGTACATCAGGATATTTGGACTGCGCCATGTCATGACAGCTACTGGCCTGTTGTCTGGTGGTACATCAGGATATTTGGACTGCGCCATGTCATGACAGCTACTGACCTATTGTCTGGTGGTACATCAGGATATTTGGACTGCGCCATGTCATGACAGCTACTGGCCTGTTGTCTGGTGGTACATCAGGATATTTGGACTGCGCCATGTCATGACAGCTACTGACCTATTGTCTGGTGGTACATCAGGATATTTGGACTGCGCCATGTCATGACATCTACTGGCCTGTTGTCTGGTGGTACATCAGGATATTTGGACTGTGCCGTGTCACGACAGCTACTGGCCTGTTGTCTGGTGGTACATCAGGATATTTGGACTGCAATGGATGTCACGACAGCTACTGACCTATTGTCTGGTGGTACATCAGGATATTTGGACTACGCCATGTCATGACGGCTACTGACCTGTTATGTGGTACATCAGGATATTTGGACTACGCCATGTCATGACGGCTACTGACCTGTTATGTGGTACATCAGGATATTTGGACTACGCCATGTCATGACGCTACTGGCCTATTGTCTGGTGGTACATCAGGATATTTGGGACTGCGCAGTGGCTGTCATGATAGCTACTGGTTTCCTTATATAAGGTTTTCTGACTGAAGAGCCCAAGAAGGAGAAGAAAAGTGAATTGTTTTCCTTTTGGAATGCTTGAACTCTTTCAGTACCAGACGACTCACATGTTTCCTGGTCCGTCCAGAGATAATAATAAAGTTATTGTTGGCTTCTCAGAGGTTTCTCTGTGTTAAAATTGTCAAGCCGCTTGCCTCATGCTCTAAAATGAAGGTTGTGGGTTCGTTTCACAGCTGCATCGATCAGTTCACGAGTGCAGTTTGTATGGAGATCCCTGGGGATCTTTGCCGGAGCTATGGACTTTGTGCTCTGTGTAGCAATCCTGGCAGATGGCTAGCCGTTCTCCAGAGAGAGACAGAGCCTTGTGGAATAAAACTCGGTGCAGTTAAATCGATCCTCTCGACTATAACCTTTTAACCTGTTGGCCTCTATCACGTACAGCAGTGGCTCTTAACCTTCCTAATGCTGCGACCCTTTAATACAGTTCTCTCATGTTGTGGCGACCCCCCAAACAATTATTTTCCTTTATAATTTAAATGAATACTTGTTTTCCGATGGTCTTAGGCCACCCCTGTGAAAGGGTTGTTCGACCCCAAAAAAGGGGATGTGACCGGCAGGTTTAGAACTGCTGACATACAATCTTTCAGTCTTTAATTTTTTAAACCTTTTCTCCTTGTATGGTTTTTGAGTTGAAATAGAATAGACCCACCATTTCCCATACAAGCCTGTCATGAAATGTGACTTACTGAGGGTGTCTCTTTGAAGCTGAAGTGTATCTACCTGAGAGGCAGGAAATCAACATACAAAAAAAAGCCAGATCTGACAAATTAATACGCATGTAAAACTCATGATCTGGAACGCAACCAACGGCGAGAATTGGACGACCAACAAGAACATTCCAGCAGCGTTTACAGCTGGGGAGTGCTAAGACAAAAAAAAAAAAGAGAAGAAGATATTCTCTGTCTGTGATTTAATTTTAGTTAAACTACTCCTGTTGCTTAGTGTCGGTGTTGAACTTCTTCAGTAACACAATGATATCACTCACAAATGTGAGGGTAGGTTAAGACTGTTGTGATATATATAAGGTGATACTCTGTAGCTCGCCTTGAACACCACCCTCTTTGTGCTGGTTTTACGGATCCTCATGCAAGACTTCTGCCACAGGTCAACAGGTCATGTGCTACAAATAATGGCCTATATTGTCCTAAACCAACCCCCCCACACACCTGTTCCAGTTGCAGTGTCCCCAGAAATGTTGATGCAAGCTTCCCATAAATGCTGTAAAGAGCCCTAGACATCAACGTCAAAAGTGCCCTAGACATCAATGTCAAAAGTGCCATTGACAGAGAGAGGGAGAGAGAAGTCTAACATGCTGAAGAAGTGAGGTTCCCATTTCTGCAGGCAGTTTGGAGTCTCAAATGCCCAAAGAAGTCAGATGTGTAGGCAGCTATGCTTTAAACAGAAATGGTGCATTTACATAACTCAGACAAATGGTGATGAAGAAGAAGAACTTCAGGTAACAGTTGTTGGGAGCAGAATAAGCTAATTATGTCTCTTGTCTGCAATTCTTAGAGTACCAAGCTCTCAAGGAAGAGTGTGCCAACTTAAGAAAGCGAATTCAAGCCATTGAGGCGGAGATGAAGATGTAAGTACCTGAAGTCATTGCTTCAGTAGTTTATATGGTTTTTTTTATAAGTACCTGGTGTCATTGGTTGAGGAGATGTGTAGTGTTCTATAAATACCTGGTGTCATTGGTTGAGGAGATGTGTAGTGTTTTGGAAGTATCGGGTGTCGTTGGTTGAGTAGGTGTGTAGTGCTTTAGAAGTACCTGGTGTCGTCGTTTGAGTAGTTGTGTAGTGTTTTGGAAGTACCTTGTAACATTGGTTGAGGAGGTGTGTAGTGTTTTTGAAGTACCTGGTGTCGTTCATTTAGTAGCTGTATAGTGTTTTGAAAGTACCCGGTGTCCTTGGTTGAGTAGGTGAGTAATGCTTTAAAAGTACCTGGTGTCATTGGTTGAGCAGGTGTGTAGTGTTTTGGAAGTACCTGGTGACATTGGTTGAGGAGGTGTTTAGTGTTTTGGAAGTACCTGGTGTCGTTGGTTGAGTAGTTGTGTGGTGTTTTGGAAGTACCTGGTGTCATTGGTTGAGCAGATGTTCAGTGCTTTAGATGTACCTGGTGTCATTGGTTTAGTAGTGTAGTGTTTTGAAAGTACCTGGTGTCATTGGTTGAGCAGGTGTGTAGTGCTTTAGAAGTACCTGGTGTCGTTGGTTGAGTAGTTGTGTAGTATTTTGGAAGTACCTGGTGTCATTGGTTAAGGAGGTGTGTAGTGTTTTGGAAGTATCTGGTGACATTGGTTGAGGAGGTGTGTAGAGTACCCTGGTGTTTATTTGGTTGTTTTGAAAGTACCTGTGTCAGGTATGTAGTACCTGGTGTTTTGAGTGGTGAAGTACCTGGTGTCATTGGTTGAGTAGTTATGTAGTGTTTTGGAAGTACCTGGTGTCATTGGTTGAGTAGTTATGTAGTGTTTTGGAAGTACCTGGTCTGGTGTCATTGGTTTAGTAGGTGTGTAGTGCTTTAGAAGTACCTGGTGTTATTGGTTGAGGAGGTGTGTAGTGTTTTGGAAGTATCTGGTGTCGTTGGTTGAGTAGGTGTGTAGTGCTTTAGAAGTACCTGGTGTCGTCGTTTGAGTGGGTGTGTAGTGCTTTAGAAATACCTGATGACATTGGTTGAGGAGGTGTGTAGTGTTTATGTTATTAGACCACCATGGAAGTGATCATGGAGAACCAGGCTCTGGCTTCCAGTGAGGGAGCTCTTTAATTCTGTACCAAGTAGCTCATTCAGAATTTGTTGGTTTCTGGTTACATGATTTCTTCTCATTTTTCTTTTTTTTTTTACTCCTCCTTCCCTTCCTCTTCTTATTTTTCTTCATCTTCACCTGCCTCCTTTCTTTCTTTTTCTTCCTGCTACCCCTACTTCTTATTTTTCCTCCTCCTTTTCCTTCCTCCTCCATCACTTCTTACTTCCTCTTCTTCCTCTTGCCTCCCCACCTCCTTTCATTCTTTCTCCTCTACTTTCCTGTCTTCTTTTCTTCTTCATCATCCTTATCCTTTTCCCATTCTTCTTTTGCCTCTACTTTCTCCTCCTTTCCTTCTTCCTCCTTCTAATCCTCCAATTCTTCTTTTTCTTCTTCCTCCTTCCCTTCTTTCCCTCCTCCTCCTCTTTCTTCCTTTAATACTTCCTCCTCCCCATCCTCCTTTACTTCTTCCTCCTAATCCTTGTTCCATTCTTCATTTATTCTTCTTCTCATCCTCCTCCCCTTCTTCCTTATCCTCCTCTTCTTCTTCATCTCCTCTGCTTCTTCCTCATCCTCCTCCCCTTCTTCCTCTGCCTCCTCCTAATCCTAATCCCATTCATATTGTTCTTCCTTCTGGTCCCCTTCTTCTTTGTCTGATCCTTTTCTTCTTCAGCATTCTGAGCCCTACAGGTTCATTTGCTGCACATATCACCCACCTCCATTGATCTCTGTGACTGGCACTTTCTTTCCAGTTGGTGGCTCCAGGTGTTTGTAGCCTTGCTTGCCTAATATTACACACCTGTTTAATCTTTAGATATCAGAAGGGGTAGAGAGAGAGAGAGAAAGGGGGGGGGGGGGGGACATTTTCCATATTATGCTAATAAAACACCTGTTCGGTATGAAAAACTTGTTTGATCTATAGATCACAAAAAAGGTGAGAGAGAGGAATATTTTCCATATTGTGCTAATGAAACACCTGTTTAATCTGAATCACCTGTTTAATTTGTAGGTCAAGGAAGGAGAACCTCCACCTGTCCTCAGAGTACAACAAGCTGCAGGAATCTTACAAGCACCTTGAGTCCCTCAAGGTCAAGCTAGAAACCAGCCAGGTGTCCTGGCAGTGCAACCTCACTGACGCCCAGAAGGATGCGCACGGGATTCGTCAGGAGGTGAGAGGCAATCCCTCTGCCACGTCGCTCGTTACCTCCCAGTCCCCCAGCAGCATGGACTCTGGCTTTGCCTCATCTATGCCTGTAGTGTCTGGAGTCAGTCAGGATTGGTTGTCGTTACAAGGAGCAACAGAGATTATCTCTTCCTCTTCTGCAGAGAACCTACGGTCTCCGAATCCGTCTGCTTCTCATAAAGGAGTAACAGGCTCTCCTCCTACTGCTCCATCCGTTTCTTCTTCTTTCAATTCTCAGGTATCTTACCAGCTGATAATGAAATTGTTTTGTAGTTTGTTGCATGAGGGATATTTTTCATCATTGAAGTTTTGTGCTTGTTTTCTGTTGATTCATTCATTATTTTTTCTTTGCTTAGTTTCTGTTCATTTTTTTATATATATGTCCTAGTTTAGTCTTTCCCAGTTTGATGTTTCACAGACTCCCAAGGGCAGTGCTGTATTAACAGCATTATGGGCCCCTGAACAAACCAATGTGCTGTGGGCCCCTGAACAAACCAATGTGCTGTGGGCCCCTGAACAAACCAGTGTGCTGTGGGCCGCTGAACAAACCAGTGTGCTGTGGGCCCCTGAACAAACCAATGTGCTGTGGGCCCCTGAACAAACCAATGTGCTGTGGGCCCCTGAACAAACCAGTGTGCTGTGGGCCCCTGAACAAACCAATATGCTGTGGGCCTCTGAACAAACCAATGTGCTGTGGGCCCCTGAACAAACCAATGTGCTGTGGGCCCCTGAACAAACCAATGTGCTGAGGCCTGTATGGCAACCTCTCACAGGAATAAAAATGTAAATGGTCGACAATATAAAACCCCTATGCGCCTGGTGCCTCTGACAAAATGCCCAGCGGTCCATGCGTTAAGGCAGCACTGCCTGCTGGTCTGTGAAAACCTTATTTACAGGGTCTGTCGTATCATTTCACACACAAAATCCTTGTTTGGGTTAGGTTGTGGGAGGGATATACCTACTAACCCCCGAGTCAAAGTGCAATTGCCTGAGAGGCGAGAAATCAGCATTCTGCGAACAAATGAGCTAAATCTGTAAAACAGATGTGCCCATAAAACTCAAATTCTAGAACCAGACTGAAGTCCAAGGAGGGACAAACAACCAGAACTTTCTGCCTGACCTAGCAGCTGGTGAACACTGAGAAAAAGAATGTATTCCTTTGGCAGTTCTGATATAAATTATAATAAATAGTAAAAGTAAAAAAAGTAAAGATCCCTTTTCACGCCTTTCGGCGCATCGGGCATATGGGCAGAGCGTCCCATATTTTACAGACCATCAGCACTCTGTGGGTCATGTGGTCAGCATTACGCCGGCTGTCTTTACTTTCCCAGGACAGCCCATCCTGGTATCCATTTGAGGCTGGGTTGACCTGTGACGTCCCATACCACGACAAAAATCCACGCAGCCTGCAGTGGGTTTCGATCGCGGTATGCTGGCTCACGAGTCGGACTCGCAACGCCTTAGCCACGGACCCCGCATTATAATAAATACTTCAGTATAAATGCAGAATAAATAAAGTCAGTATAAGTAAAGGCTAAACGGCATGAAGAACCTATGGCGTAGCACCTGCAAATAAGTTGAAGTAAAAATGTTGTTGTGTGCCTTGGACAGCTGAGTCTTCAAAGAAGAAAATCAGAACTTTTGAACTGAAATGCTACAGAAAAATACCATTGACCAAGAAGAAGAAAAAATGGTGACATTCTGCATGACCTGAACATCAAGTGGAACTGGCTCATAAACAGCATTCTGTCCCAAAAACAGGCATTTTGGAGATATCAAGCACCATCGTCGTCTGGAGAGAACAGTGCTGGAGGATGCTGTTTCCTGAAAATGAGGCAGAGGCCGACATCTGCGTCGTAAAATGTCCTGGATATAGGTCATTGAAGATAATTTGGCTATAAAAACAGATAAGGCTGGAGAATTGGCCAGAGGGAGCCTTGTAGGCGTGCTCTGAAGGCAGCGACATGCTGATTGATTGATTAATTGGCCTCAGTATAACCGTTAAAAAGTGCACGATCTGTGGCAGACATTTGAAAAATGAAAGAATCTACGGGTCTTAACTAACTGGGTACCACTGTCGTAGTGTCTTTTTTTCTTTACAGTTTTTATATTTGCTTCCAGAAAGTTTATGTTGCTTTAATACTTTAATTAATTTTAAAAATTCAGTTACTAACGTTTTTATTTTCTTGGTTTCTTTGGTAGTAACTTAAAGATTTTATGAATGGCTGTTAAACTGATGCCAGAAGTGAATGAAAATGAAAAGTGACTGGGAATCTTGACAGATGGATGACACACACATTTATTCCCTGAACCACACGCACGCACGTGCGGACGCACGCACACACACACACACTTTTTTTATTGTAGTTACTTGTAGCTTGTTGTCGATAACGATATCCCAGCACATCAGCCTGAATCATTTGTGTTCTGTCCCCCAGTGCAGCAACCATATCAGTGACTCCAGGCTAATAGTACCCAGTAGGAGTTTATTGTCATGAACTGTTCAGCCTAGTCGGGATGGCACAAGAGAAACCGCAGGACTGGAGAAATGCACTTTTAGTACCCATCTGCAAAAATAAAGACAGCAAGATTGACTGTAAGAAGTAAAGAGGAGTTTCATCATTGAGCTATGCCAGGCAAAGATTGGAGTCAGACAGGTCACCACAGAGAGCAGTGTTTTACATATACAGCGATACCAGATCCAGAGGTCACACGTGCAGAAGATGGACCGTGGAAATTGAGACACTGAAAAGGATGGTATAGGAAGTGAACAAAAGGGCCCGTTCCAGAGATCTCTTCCTGCCCTAATACTGTGAGGCATTCCAGGAGTAGGGGAGGAGAAGGAGCTGTTGAGAAACAGATCACAGACATGACCTCAGATTACCATACTTTACAGAACAAGTCACGCATGGTATGTTGATGATGAGATGAAGCACCTGTGAATCTGTAGTGCTGTGTTGGCTGACCTCACTAACTACTATTTACACTCAAAATTAAACACAATACCTGATTATGCTGCCATGTTTTTGATGTGGAAATTGTTTCTTTTTCCCCATCCCTTTGGTGGGGGGGGGGGGGGGGGGGGGGGTAGATCCACTGCCCCTTAACAAGCATGTCTTGTTGTAGTTGGAGGTTTGATGTTTAGGGCTGAAAAGTGCAAATGTCACAGCCTAACTGTAAAACACAATTTGCTAACTGCTTTTGGTTCTTTATTATTATCCTACCCCAGATGATGTCACAGGACAGTCCAAAATTTTGACCCAATCTTAAAGTGAATCATGTAATGGTAATGTCCTGGGAAGTAAAGGCGCCTGGTGCAGTTTTGACCACATCACCCACCAAGTGCCAGTTGGTCTTTAAATATAAGAGTCTAGTATCATATGCCATGGTCCAAAATTTTGACCCAATCTTAAAGTGAATCATGTAATGGTAATGTCCTGGGAAGTAAAGGCGCCTGGTGCAGTTTTGACTACATCACCCACCGAGTGCCAGTTGGTCTTTAAATATAAGAGTCTAGCATCATATGCCATGGTCCAAAATTTTGACCCAATCTTAAAGTGAATCATGTAATGGTAATGTCCTGGGAAGTAAAGGCGCCTGGTGCAGTTTTGACTACATCACCCACCGAGTGCCAGTTGGTCTTTAAATATAAGAGTCTAGCATCATATGCCATGGTCCAAAATTTTGACCCAATCTTAAAGTGAATCATGTAATGGTAATGTCCTGGGAAGTAAAGGCGCCTGGTGCAGTTTTGACTACATCACCCACCGAGTGCCAGTTGGTCTTTAAATATAAGAGTCTAGCATCATATGCCATGGTCCAAAATTTTGACCCAATCTTAAAGTGAATCATGTAATGGTAATGTCCTGGGAAGTAAAGGCGCCTGGTGCAGTTTTGACTACATCACCCACCAAGTGCCAGTTGGTCTTTAAATATAAGAGTCTAGTATCATATGCCATGGTCCAAAATTTTGACCCCCAATCTTAAAGTGAATCATGTAATGGTAATGTCCTGGGAAGTAAAGGCGCCTGGTGCAGTTTTGACTACATCACCCACCGAGTGCCAGTTGGTCTTTAAATATAAGAGTCTAGCATCATATGCCATGGTCCAAAATTTTGACCCAATCTTAAAGTGAATCATGTAATGGTAATGTCCTGGGAAGTAAAGGCGCCTGGTGCAGTTTTGACTACATCACCCACCGAGTGCCAGTTGGTCTTTAAATATAAGAGTCTAGCATCATATGCCAAACTCCCTGTGTGGGTTCCAGGATTTCATTGTGGGGAGGGGGGGGGTATCTTGTCATATACTTTAAGGGGAGGGGGCTGAAGAGGCTGGAGACCACAGGTGTAAGCCCTATCTGTAACATGAATCTGCACCCAAAGCTCGGCTTCTAGAACAGGACCAAAGTTCAGAAGAGGTTGAACAACCATAACTTGAGTTTATACCCCGGAAAACACAAGGGAACAAGAAATTCACAAGTGCACTTTATATAGAACCATGAGGATTAATGTTGGAGCTAAATAGTTCATTCTTTGTGTGAGGCTCTTGACAGGAAGCTAGCCATTTTGCAGAGAGAGACTAAGCCAAACAGAAAACCTGGGTATGATAAAGTCAGTCTGGTCGACTTTGTCTGAACCTTTTCAGTACTAGAAGGTTTCACAGGGTGACAAAATAATCCTGATGCATTGCTTTCAAAGTGGCAGTGTACATGGTTGTAGCGACCACTGGGGGAAGCCAGATTTCTCTAGTATGTTCTGACCAAGTGGTAAAAGTAAGAAAGCACATTGAGCTACTGGAGGAGAATCAAGTGATAATAAATTCATTCACATGTCGGCCATTGTTTAGGATTGAAAGAGTTACACTTTTGAATGCAAAGTAAGTAGCTGCTCATGCTGCATAGATTCTCTGCTGAATAGATTTGTCTGCATTTGTTTGTCTGATTGCAGCTGGAGGAGGCCAACAAAGAACTCAGCCAGTTGAGGGGTTTATGCGAGGAGAAGTCCGAAATAATAGGCAGCTTACAGAAACAGATCACAGACATGACCTCGGAGTACCATAATTTACAGAACAAGTCACGCATGGTATGTCTTCGTTTGTTGCCTTTTGTGTCGATTTGTCTCTCTCCTTGTGTCAGTTTGTCTCTCTCCGTGTGCCAGGTTGTCTCTCTCAGTGTGCCAGTTTGTCTTGTCTCTCTCCTTGTGTCAGTTTGTCTCCTTGTGTCAATTTGTCTCTCTCCTTGTGTCTGTCTTTCTCCTTGTGTCAGACAGTGCTGTAATCCTTATTTAATCAGTCATTTCTTCTGGTACTTCAGCATTCTAAGCCCTTGAGTTTTTTTGCTGCAGACGTCACCTGCTTCCATTTGCCTCTGTGACTGGTATTATCTTTTCTGTTGGTGACTCCCAAGTTTTTGCAGGTTCTGCCAGTATAACATCTCTCCACTGAGTTTTTGGTTTGGCAAAAGTTTTGTGTGTATGTGTATGTGTTGCTTTTCCATATTTTAGATAATTAGAGAGAGACAGAGAGAGATGAATTAGTGTCTTGATAATTGGTTGGATAGTTAGGTGTTTTATTAGTTATAGATCATTGCTAGACCAGGATTAGATGTCACACTTTTTTTTCCCCTTCTTCTCCTCCTTCTCCTGCATCCCCTCCTAATTTTTCTTTTTTCCTTGAAAGGACGGTAGGTACATTATGTCATAGTTTACAGCTAGGCTGTGATATCTGGCCTAACACATCCATTTTCAGCAAGAGGTAGAAAATGATACAGGTGGTAGGACAACATCAAGAGATGGATAAGAGCAGTCTGTGAGATTGTACAACCAAGACAAGAGACAGAGTAAGTTAGAGATCCTTTGCAGCCAATCTTCATTATGGAGAGGGCACCTGATTGATTGATTGATTGATTGATTGATTGATTGATTGATTGAGTCTATCCCCTCCCCCCTTCCAAGGGGCCCTAGAACACACACAGTGAACACTGTTCAAGATCTTGGAACACCTATTAGTGGTGCATTGTGTCTGCAGTCTGACCACTAGGCAGGCATACTAAGTCAGCTGTTGCACTGCTGAAGGTCGTGGGAAGTAAAGGCCGCACATGTTATGTTGACCCCTGCCACCCATGGATTGTATGTTGCTCTATAAAAAATATGTGTCTTGGAGAGAATGCCTGATGTACCAATGGCTGGGGTAAAAGAGTCTTACTTGTTTTCCACTAATAAGTTATAGAATTCACCTACAAACATTATAGGATTCACAAATGCATTGAGTTAATATGCAGTTATTTTAGGATTCACAAACTTACAGGGTTAACAAGCATATTTTGTAAGATTCACAAACATATAGGGTTAACAAACATATGATGCAAGGTACACAAACATATATTATAGGTTTACAAAAATATGTTGTAAGGTTCACAAACATATATTGAAGAGGTTCCTCTCATTGATGCCATATGTTGTCCTCTGGTTTCAGGTTTCGTTGGTGTCCAGCATCCCTCTGCTGATGCTTCTGTTTGCTGTTCTGATGGCCATCTACCCAACTCTCGAAGCAATCACATCATAGCAGTTACTTACTTAGTCTTGTCACCGTCGTCTATTTATGTGTACAGCACCAGTCTCACCCATGAATACGTGATGAACAGGGGACATTACTGGCTCCCAAGTGAAGCTTTTCTCATTGAACTCATTGGATTATTTGCTGTATATATTTGTTTACTTTTTGGTTTGGTCAAGTTTGTGATGCCTGCTTTGGTAAAGGAGTTGGTAAAATCTTTGTGATGGTGTTGTTTGAAAAATTTCAGGTAAAAGAGATGATGTATGAAAATGTGACATTAAAAATTGCTGTGTCTGAAAGTCTTATGAGGGGGGTAAAAAGGGGATGGTCTAGTACAGGCTACTGGTGGTCCGCAGGCCAAATCTGGCCTGGCCTAGCAAGTGACTCACTGATCACTTTTCAGTTGTATTGTATTTATGATCTTCCTATGCTATGCTTGGGCCTGTGACCAGCGAAGATCCCTGTTTTCCTACATTTGGGCCCTTGAATGAACTTAGTTGAATGGCCCTTGAGTTAAAGTTGAATGGCCATTGAGTTAACTTAGTTGAATGGCCCTTGAATTAACTTAGTTGAATGGCCATGCTCCAGGACCTATATTTAAAGTCAGCTGGTTGTTAAAATTACATTATATTTTCTGTATGAACATGATGTTTTCAGTAATCTCTAGCAACACATATTAGCGAAGTAAAAGAACAGAATAAAGAAGCGGGTGGATTTTGCAAGCAATCAAAACAACCAAATTGTTTCTGTTATAGTTTCCATTTTTAAATTTATTTTTGGCTTTGCACTTAACTGAAACTGCAGTGTTTGTTTGCAGAGGGCTTTCAGACAAGAATTGTTTTCAGCGTGTGAAGATTCCGTTTTTGCAAGTAGTTATCGTGCCACTTGCAGATTGTTTTCAGCATTGTCAGTTTTTTGAATCACTGCAGACGGAACAGTTTGTGGCTGAAAACTTAGCTAAGTAGTGATAAGATGTCAGTGAGTGTAATCATTAAAGTTAGTCGAACATTTGAAAGTGTGAACTTTGATATGTTATTTGTAGACTTGGTACGTGAGACATATTGTTTGTATATTTTGGTTACAGTTGCTTTCTCTGTACGTTATCCAGGTAACTCGTAGCATTTTTTTTTAATGTGATCATTTGTCTCATTGCCAGGTTGTCCTGCAGTGCTTCATATATGTATATACAAACATTTGTATGTCAGCTGAAATGATGACTGAACTTATGCAGATGCTTCCATGTGTGCATGTGTATTTTGGAGACAAGGGATAAGAAAGTGTGGAGGCCTTTGCTAGCAAATATGAATGATGTAAATATCATTTCAGACAATAATTAATTCACCAAGGTGGAGGAAGCGGTATGTTTCAGGTGAAGAATGTAGTGATTGCTGACATTTACAAATGAAATGTAATGATAGTGATATTTACATATGTAATGTAATCGTAGCGGACGTTTACACCTAAATTAAATTACTGTTGACATTTAAGCATGTCATTATTTTATTACATGCTGGGGTGAAGATGTGAACCTTTGATCAGATTTCACCTGGCAGACATTAGTATCTGTAGTTAGGGAAGAAGGTGGCATATACCGACGCTGGCACCTGTTGCCTCTTTAGAACCTGACGCTGAAAGGCAGAACAGAACTAGAGAAGAAGATGGCTGGATGTTCACAGCCGTTAACTCTTATCTTCACATTTGTAACATCGATATGAATGTGCATTTGGTAAGAACCATATTATGTGCTTTTGACTGAAGAAAACAAGAAAAAAATCTCATTGTAGTTTGTGATCTAGAGACATGCATTATGCTATTGTGTTAAAAGTGGAGAATGGTTATAACGCTGGTCTATTAAGCGGGAGACCCAGAATAAAAAGCATAGAATTTTATATCTGATCTGTAAAATTGATAGAAGGTTAATGTTAGTTGCGTATCCTTTACAAGATGTTGCAGAACCAACCCCAGAATTGTTTTCTAGGCCAATTTTATGTTCAATAGTTTGCCTTTGCTTTCTGGATGGTCAGCTCTCGGTACCAATGTCGAAACCAACGCAAGACAAATCTTCCGCAGCTGGAATCGAACCCGGCTACCCGGCATTGTGAAATGTGTTTTCAACACCTAAGCCACAGAAACCGACTGATAGAGGGTACAGTTTTTAAAAAAAACGTGGCAGGGGCAGACCTCTGTGAAGGTGGATACTGGATACTAAAGATGCATTGGCTATGAAAGCACATAGTGCTGGAGAATAGGTTAGAGAAAGAGAGACGGGCAAGCGTATTGTGACAAGAGCAACCTTCTGTAAAGGACTTGTTGAATGAGGATTATAATGATCAAAAGTAAACACAGACAAGACCTTGACAGCAGACCCTGATGTTGGTAGGAACAAACAGCCTTAACACTGTGGTCCACAAGAAGGTGCAGTGTTAGTAGAGCATATTATATAAATGCAGTGCATATGATAATAGTTTTTCGTGAGAAAACATATCGAAATGTGTTTTTAAAACAGTGTTAAAAAAAGTTTTTCAAAAAAAATTTCAATTTTTTCCTGTGTGGAGGCTTTATGAGACACCCGGTTGATATGACCGTGAAACACCACAAAGCCTTCTTCCCATGCTGTTATTCATAAACACCTTACTGGCAAACACCAGTGATGATAACAATGAAAATAGTTTGACTCCAGTCAAGCTGATGTCAAGAAATAGGTTTACTCAATAACTGAACAGGAATCTCAAGAAGGAGGGAAAGGAAAAAACATGCACAGAAATAAATAAATGTTATGACCAAGGTCTTTATCAATGAGCAGGCTGCAGCGAGTGCAGTTCTGTTTCCGTTCCGTGCATGTTTTTCCCCTGCCTCATTCTTCCTTGTCAATGTTCAGGGAATTTATTACAAGTGGTGATAAATAGCTTCATTTAGGTAGTGTATGTTTTGTTTGTCCATCCGTTTTTGATTAAAAAAAATTAAACAGAATGTCACGTTCAGCCAGAATCCCCAAAGCTGTAGGTTGTAATTATGGCTAGGTTTATTTGCGCCGTGCAGCATTGACTTAGCATTGTCAAGGACTCCTGCAGTGTTGATGTGATTAAAAGAGAGGACCCAAATACTGTCCTGACCGATGACAAAGTCGTCTACCGGCGAGCCAATGGGCAACCCGGTGTATGTTTTGTTGATGTGTGTGTGTGTGTGTTTTTTTTAAATACAAAGAGCATGAAATAGAATACAGTGAATAGAGGGAAATTAATCAGGTGCCATCTCCATAGTGAAGGTTGGCTTCAATGGATCTCCAACCCGCTCTGTCTCTTGTCCTGGTTGTACACTCTCTCAGACCACTGTTTGTCCATCTCTCGGTGTTGTCCTCCCACTTGTATTGTGGTCTACTTCTTTCTTTCTTGCCTTTGACCTTTCTCTCAGGTATGTTTTTTTTAAAGTGTTGTTATGACTTTAATATGCTCAAAATATTTCATTTGTGTGTTTTGTTATTTCTTTCGGTATCTGTCTTTTCATTCCCAGAACCTCTGTATTTGATGTGTTAATAAAGGAAAAACTTTAGCTAAAAGAAACAAATTCAGGTTAACAAGGTCATGATTACAAATTACAAAACGGATGTGGCAGTGATAAAGCCTTCATCAGCATTGTTTTTTTAAATTGTGTATTTTTATAAATATCTGTTTGTGTTCATATGTAGTTTATGTGCAGTAGTAATATTATTATTTTTGTTTGCTGAAGAAGGTTCTTGCAAAACCAGTTCTTGGGGTTTAAAAAAAAAAAGAATCAGTTTTATTGCATTTAGGCATGCCAAAAAGTGCTATCTCTTCAAAGATGACACACACAAAATCTCAGCACAATGCATGAACTTTGTACTGGTGATGATCCATTTATGTATGTAACAGAATCACACTTACTTTAACTCTTTAAGCCCCAAGGAACGCATTATACTTTCATTTGCTGCTACCTAGGGTAAACGCAAGATGCGCTGCTTTACTTCTCTCTTTACTACCTCTTTGGCCTCTGATACTAAACCTCTGGGACTCAAAGAGTTAAACCTTCATTGATGAGTAGGTTTTTATGTTTGAAATACATTCTAAGCAGCAGTCTGTTGTGCTGTATTTGACTGTTACTCACAGGCGATTTTAGGTGCACGTATAAGTTCTCTTAGTCTTTTGCCCTTATCTAGGATGACCAAATGTCCTATCCACAACTTTAATGTTTGGTTCCTAAGTTGTGAACATTCAGTAGTATACACTTTGAATCGGATTAGGTCTGCATACTTCTTCATCGCGTTCACCAGCTGTAAACTCTGGAAAATAAATATAAACAAATATTTAAAAATCATTACTGTCTCTAGTCTGAGGCAGCTGTCATTCACTGCCCTACAAAAATCCAGTTTTGCCATACATGATGCTGTTCATGTCAAGTTGATTTGGCCTGTTTTGTCACACACGGCTGACATCACTTGATTTTACGGCAGCTAGAAGTAAGAGTGAAATATCATTGTTGGAGTAATGTATTAAATGTGAAGGGTTCCAGATCTGACAGCCAATAGGCATCCTAACGCTGCATTTCTGACAGAAATCTGACCATTCAGCGTTGCATCGACCTCCCCATCACCAGATTATTTTGGCGACCGCACAGTTTCACATTGTATAGGTCACAATTTTCATGAATATTGTGTGCTTGAATGTGTATTTGCTAATTGTTTCATTTCCTTTTCCTCCCATATATTTTTCTAAGCCATGTTTTTTATAGTTTTGTTCTCATGTTCCTGTTTCCTATATGTTTCATCTTTTATTTTCCCACCATTATTATTTTCATCAGTAACTTTGTCATCATTTGTGTGTGTGTGAATATATATTTTAGTTTTAAATTTATATTTTTTTAAATAGCTTGTAAGTTTTCCCTTAACTCCTTTGGCCTCAGTCAGTTGTTGTTTTAACTCCATCATTTCAAATTAGTTAAGCTCAATCACCTTTGTCTGAGTTAAAGACACTTTTGGGTTGAGGTGGTTAAAC